ACTGGCTGTTGCACCACCTGGGCCCCCTACTGTGCCAACTTGCTGTACTTTAGCCACTCGGCGCTCCGCTCGTTGTTGTGAGCGTCGCTCCTCTGCCCTCCGTTGTTGTTGAAGGGTGACTGCCTCCAACTGCCCAGTAGCGTCCTTCACGAGCCTCCTCCACAGAGGCCGATCTTGACACCGCTGGTACCAGTCATCGGCAAGTCCACTCAGATCCACGTCCTCCTGTACCACATGACTCCATCTCTTCTCTAGCCCGTGCCGCGCCCGTTTAGCCCCCTAGATCCGGCCGAACAAAAGCTGATTAGTCATGCGGTGGTTGGGCATGCGGGCTACATGGCCCAGCCAACGCAGCCTTGCCTGCCGGAGGCGCTCACCGATGGGGCTTTGTCCAGATATTTCAAGGATTTGTGAGCTCCTCACACAATCCAGCCTGGTTAAACCCAGGATGGATCGTAGGCAGGCCAGCCTATATATTTCTAACCGGCGAAGATGCTCCATTAGGGGGGTCCACGTTTCGCAAGCGTAGAGAAGGGAGGGAATGACTGTGGCCGAGAAGACTTGAAGCTTCGTGCGGAGCGACAGACCAGGTAGCTTCCACACAGCGTTACGCAACCGATGAAAAGATAATGCCGCTTGACTGATTCGGAGTGAGACCTCTGTTGTTAAACCGGAGCCGGTCATGAGCACATTGCCCAGGTATGGAAAACTCTCCACTCTCTCCACAACTGCCCTATCACAAAATACCCAGGCAGGTGCTTCGTTTTGGTGGGGCTGATGGTAAGGCCCCACCTCTTAGTGGCAACCTCCAGGTTCAGCAGCAGCATCTCCAACTCCTCCTCTGAGTGAGCAGCAATTACCAGAACATCGGCATACATAACATGGTTGAGCAAGAGGGAGCCATCCCTTGACCGCACCCGGGCATCGATCAGCCTCCCATTGTATTTGTACCAGATGCAAATTCCTCAGATACAGCTATTGAAGGCTTCACGAACTACATGGTCGAAATATATGTTAAATAATGTGGAGCCAGAGGACATCCCTGTCGCACCCCAAGGTGTACAGGGAATGGCTCCGACTCCCGGCCACGTAGTTTTACCCGGGCCCGCTCACCATCATGAAGGTCCTTAATGATTGTGAGCAGATGGTCAGGAACTCTGAAAGCATGAAGAACAACCCATAGTCCAGGCCTACTGATGGTATCATAGGCCTTGACCAGGTCAATAAAGCAGAGATGTAGGTCTTGTTGGAATTCCCTACACCTCTGCTGTAGCAGATGGACAGAAAATATGGCATCTGTGCAGGACCGCCCTTTCCTGAAACCGAACACGCATACATACACACACACACACATTCGGGCAAAATGATATCACTCACCCAGATTAACTGTAGAATTACTGCTGTAATGAGCCAAGAAGGTCTGTTTGTGTGTCCCGCACGTAACGTCACTCCACATACCACACCTCCCATCATTAATATTCATGACCGGGTGGATTTTTACACTCAGGCAGAAGGTTGAGCGGAAATATTTTTTCCCGCAAATTCGCTTTAAGTTTGACGTTTCTTTATTGAAAGTGAATATAATCAATAATTCTACGCAGCAAATAAGTGGATTTGGTGTCTTTATTTCTTCAGCACTTATTATTAAAAGTGTAACTAATGATTCGTTTATTACAAGAAAAATCGAATTACTCCTAAAAATGATACAAGCGCTGCTTTTGATGAAAGCGAAGTTGTCCCGCCCCCTGGTTTTGTATTTATCTTTTTCGTTTTGCGTACCAGAACAGAATAAAAATAAATCATATATCCGTCAATTTACACCGAATGTGATATAGAGAAAATTTTTATATTAAATAAATTCAATACAATCTTAACATTTTAGTATTTTAATGACATTTATTTTTTTAAGAACCCATCACATGACGGGCAATTACGCTAGTTGAGAATAATAATAATGATGATACAGTTTAACACGTAGGCTTTCGCGACCAATATCATCCATAATATAGTGTTTTGGGGTTCGATCGTGTAAATATAAATGTGTCATCAGGCGATGAAGCTAGTTGTAATTACTAGCGAAACGTCGTACTCAGATTGTGAATGTTGTGGATTTGCTCCCCAACACACCGGCGTGCTGTACTAGCAACGAATTGGCACGTTCTGTTAACGTGACAACCTTGACTAATTGGCTGTGTTGTGTGGTGGCGGGTTTAACGACACATTTATAAATAATTACGCGATCTAACCCCCCCCCCCCCCCCAAAAAAACCTCTCTATTATGCACAATAATAACAACAACGACAACAACAATGCAGCAGCAGCAGCAGCAACATCTGCGGTGCTCACCGGGCCCGCGCGCCGGGTTGACGGCCGCTGTGGATGTCCCGCACCCCATCGCGAGCAGCAGGAGCAGCAGGAGCAGCAGGAGGAGCAGCAGGAGGTGCAGGAGGAGCAGCAGGAGGAGGTGTCACGCGTCTCTCTCCGCGGGTGATGGAGAGAGGCGCGAGGCGGAGTGCGGCTCTTGCCCCCGAGTGCAGCGGCTCGCTCCGCAAAACGCGCCAGAGGGGGCCGGAGGGAGGGAGGGAGGGCGGGCAAGTCACGATGCCACCAAAAGACAACAACCACCACCACCACCACGGGCACCACCAACGGTGGTGGTTGGTGGTTGTTGTATTTTGGTAATGGTGATTGTGGTGGTGGCAGTGGCGGTGGTATTTGTAATTCGTTGGCATAGTACGGGACACAAGTGGTGCATCTGCTAGTCATCTCAGTCCGTTCAACACGGAGGCTTTCGCGAACAATATCATCCATAACATGGATTTCTTTCTTTGGGTTAGATCGCGTAAAAATAAATGTGTCATTAAACCCGCCACCAAACGATACAACCAACTAGTAAGGTTTGTCACGTAAACAGAACATGCCAATTCGTTACTAGTACAGCACACTGGTGTGTTGGACAGCAAATCCGCAATGTTTCCTCAAAGCTATCCCTCTATTTAAGGAACGAAACAGGAGGATTTCTCCACAAAACTGGCTGTCGCCTGATGAAGCTGGTTGTAATTACTGGCGAAACGTCGTACTCAGACTTTAAATGTTGTGGATTTGCTCTCCAACACACCGGTGTGCTGTGCTCGTAACGAATTGGCACGTTCTGTTTACGTGACAAACCTTACTAGTTGGCTGTGTCGGGTGGTGGCGGTTTTAACGACACACTTATATTTACGCGATCTAACTAAAAAAAACCTGTATTATGGCATTTCATTCAGTCAACTCATGGCACCTGCTGAGTCTGTCTGGTGACCTCCTGCCAGCAGCAAGCCTTCCGACACTTCACCTGGCCTTGAAGTGCACTTAGCCTGGCACAAGCGCCGTGGTGACGTCACCGCCACTTGGTGGCGAATGGCGACTTTTGTTTTTGGTGGTGGTGGTAGTAGTGGTGTTGATGGGAGCGATGTCAAAAACATTCTCACCTCGCATGTGGGGCATTGCCACGTGCCCAGGTAGGCACATGCGGTCGGACGTGCGATACCATTGTGTATGCTGTGTGTGTACTGTATTGTGTACTGTGTGTACGGTGTGTGTCCTGTATGTATGTACTGTGTGTGGGTACTGTGTGCGTACTGTGTGCGCGCTCCTCGGTACGCAGATGTCTCGTCCGGTTTCGCTTCGTGCGTCTTTTTTTGGAACGCATCTACTACCGCGTAAAGCGAGGGGCATCTGTATATTGTTTACGTGATACCCTTCAGTCCCCATGACGACACACAATGTGCAATATGCAGGATTATGTTGTACTTGAAAACGCCATTTTTCCAGAGGCACAATCCTACCCAATTATTTATTGAGAGTGGTGAGGACGACAATCGGCAACCGTTTAAACCTCCACGACCTCCTGACAACAGCCTCAACATCCACCGCACCTCGGCGCGACCACGCTTGCAACCCTTGGAAGGGCCAATTCTCAGCCGAGGACAAAAGCATGGGTCGTCGAGATTCGCGCGACCCTGGAGCACGGGCAGAGGGATCCCCAAAACTCAACCCTACCAATCAATCGGCCGCAGTCGAGCAAACTTCATGTGCCCATCCGCCCACTCAAGCTCCCCTCTGCCCACGCCAGCCTATTTATAGGCGAGTGGATGAGGTTGGCGGTTTCTTCCATTGTGTTGGACTATAACACCTTTGCGATGGAGAGACAAAAAAACCAACAGATGGTAATGGCAGGGTGTTGCTTCCGACGGTTGAGTCACTGGCACGTATAAAGTTGTTTTGTTCCATACTCCTTCGCCTTCATGCTGATCGAGGCAATCGAGAATTGCACTAGATTTTACGTTTAAAAAAAAAACAAATATTCTAAATTTGACCTTTTAATCCAAAATGTGTTATACTACTATACTGACCACGTTTTTAAATTAGCCAAAATGTTCAATTATGCTTGTGATATAAACTACATATATGCGTTTTGCCAGCATTAAATGCATTTTAAATTAAGGTATCTTCGGTAATTTTGCTGTTGAAATCTGTTTTTTTCCTAATTTGCATACTTTTTTTGCAAAAGCTATCAAAACATGTGGTCCTAATTCCAACAAACTAAGTTCAAGTTGCATTGTATTATAAAAATGTACACATTTTGTCACTTATATTTTCACCCAAAACGTAACTGGCTAACCTCTACAGCTTTTGTACAAACACAAGACCCAAATTATTCTTAGTCGAATGTTTGAATTCACACTTGACATACGCAATTTATATGTGATAGGAAACTACTTATTGAATAAATTGTAAATATATTCACATTAACGTTCAAGCAAAGACCGCATGCTAACCAATGTTTTCATAGTGCGCCCAATGTGGCTTCAGGAACTTTGACTAAATATGCAACTGACACTGGATATGAACGGTTCCGCTTATGAATTACACTCGGGACACTCAAGCAAGATTGAGATGAAACTCAGTCGCAAACCTGAAAACCCTAAATCCAAACAAAAGCATCGCAAATTGACAGGTTAAAGTTACGACAAATATTTTATTTATCAAAGATACTTTAGACAAATCTTCTAAATGCCACGAGGTGAAACGCATTAGCACAGCAAAATAAGAAAATCTTTACAAAAGACAAGGGTAAAACACGTTTTTTTAAAAGAAATAACTCCCAAAAGATTATTGTAAAATGTACACAGCACAAATATCATCTGTGCACACAAACCATTACGTTGCAAATATTTTGACAAATATATACAACTGATCATTGGTGAGCTTAGAGTTGTCCTTTGGGAAACAGTTCTGTGTGCTCAAAGATTTATTGGCCACTAATCTATGCAAACAGTCGAAGCACAGTTCAGCTTATAGGAGTGGACCGGGCCCTAACTTGTGAAATCATGAGTTTGAATCCCAGCTGGGATCAACCCATCAAGTCTCTGAAATGGTCACCAGAACTAGCTATGCATCACTTGGTGGGAAGCGATGGAGATGAAAACCACCGATCGCTCATATGAGCACAGGTACCCTGACATGTTTAACCAGGAGCTTCAAGACGAATATAAAGCCCTTATTCTTGAAAGGCCTAGTATGGCATAGGTGGTTGGTGAATGCACGAAACACAACGTGGACAACAATGTAATCTAAAACATAACTCCAGCCTTGTCACCGACCTCCTTGCCGCACAGCGGACCTTGGCTATGTTGATTTCTTGCCCGGGTGCAATGAAGAGCACAAAGCCATTTCAAACAATTTGTGTTCCTTGCTCAGTACAAGTGGACAGTCAAACCCAGAAGCATCCACTTCAATTTCCAAATAAGAGTCCACAATGTGACGTAGGCCAGGAAATTGTGCACGAGTGCCTCATCACTGTATCCAGTGCCAATTTAAACTAATAACCTAAAAGAATGCTTACTGGAAACATTTACTAAAAAATTACCCCCCCCCCACCTTTTATGCGTAAGCCTCACTGCTCGAAGTCATATCTGTATGGAGCTGGCGTTTTAAAGAAGATGTTACCGCCACAAATGATTGTCGGGAACAATTTCACACCACTGGCATGACGTGCACCAGCAAACTTGGGGCTGCACTAGCCCAGCAACCTCACTCTCTCCATGTGCAGGACACATGGCACCATATGGTTGCTCTTCATTCTGAGTGGTCGTATTAAAGGCCATTAAAAGTGCGTACGCATACTGCAAACCACAAAACTTTAAAACCATCGCAAGGAAACGTTACCACTGCTTAGGTGAATTTCCAGTGGTGTCCTTTTTGATAAAAAAAAAAGAAAACAATAAAATGGAACACGACGCTTACCCCTCCTTTGTTGCTACCTAACTTTTAAAAGTTGACAATTTGACGAATAAAACAAAACGAAAACTTCCTGACGTTTTCACAACCTGAAGGCGGACAACGCGACGCACGCCGCGAGAGAGACGGGGGGGAGGGGGCGAGCGTGGGGAGGCAGGGAGCTTCACTCGCGAGCGTGGCTGTGCTGCTGGGCCTCCAGACACTCCCTGAGCTTGTCTTCCGTCATCGTCAGCCTTTGCTCCAGGATGGACACCGTCTGCAAGTTGAGCGACACACGTTAAGTCTACGGGCCGGAAAATAAATTGGCACCGCATAAGGTAGCAAGACTCTGGTGATATAATTATATTTATGGGGCTATTACTGGTGTATGATTTGATAACCCAGTCACACTCATTTCAATTGGGTATCACATCAAGACATTGTACCACGAATGTGATGCCACCTCAGGTGGTACCGACAAGTGGATTAACTGGTCTGGGCTCATGGTCTAAAGTGGTGATATTGTTAGGTTAAAGAGCATTGCATTATTGCTCACACAATGAGATCAGGTATACTTTGTACGTAATGTTTTTGTATTATTATTTGGGTATGGCTCATTCCAAGGTTATGAAGTCAGGCTATAACACAATAAAATACTCTTGTTACCAATGTCAGAGCGCATTTGTTCTATGGCAGACATTGCATGACGATAATTGTCAGCAGAAATATATGGGCGGTGACAAGAAGCTAATCGCTGGTCACTGTACGATGTTGTTCAACCTGCAAAATGACACCTTGTTTTTTTAGGTTGCCAAGAGCAATATCGTGACTCAACCATTCGCCCGAGTGCGCAGCATGAGTTGCTCACTCGGGCGAATTTCAAGCTGTCACCTTTCGCAGGCCTGTTTGAATCAAAAGGCAAGCGCTCTAAAAGGTGGGGGGGCCTGTTCAACAGCTCCCGATTGTTACTCACTCCCACCCACTCTTGGATTCAAGGCCGGATCTCATGAGGACAAGGCTGGAAGCCACAAGGCCGAGGTTGAGGCCAGGAGCCACAAGGCCCAGCTGAGGCTAAGTTTGGAGAGCCTTGTAGGTTGAGGCCAGTGTCAAGGCCAGTCAAGGCCGGATCCTCTCGGCTGGCTGATGAGCTACAATGAGCAAAGCTCGTGTTGCAGTACGGGAACTGCCAAACACTTTGAAACAAAACTGATCGATACATCTTAATTTACCTCCACACAATGTAATCATTATTTTGCTTACGTTTTCTTAATTAAAACTAGCAGTCACCACCACTTAAGACATTTAACGAACATTATCATTATAAGAATTACACGTGACCCGTTTGCGAACTGAGGCCAGGGCCGAAGGATCGAAACTTAGAGTCCTCGGACCGGCCTGGAGGACGGGAAGACCCTCTTCCACCTCGCGCTGGGATCGAACCCCAGCTGGGGTACCGTCCTCACCTGCGTGAGGATGTCGAGCTGCGTGACGATGTGCTCGAACGTGTTGACGAGCGCCGCGGGGATCCCCGCTCTGTCCTCGAGCGGCCGACTCACGGGGCCGCTGCCGCTCCCCTCCGCGTGGAAGCCGTTGGTCCCGGCGGCACCAGCACCGTGCTGCCACCCGCAGAGAACGCACATCGCTCGCTGTTGTATGTATTATGTTTGTACGCTAACTTCTTTCCCACCGTACGTAGCCAACCATGCTAATCAGAGGTGTGGGGAAAGACAAACTAAAACACAAAAAGCAGTTCTAAAGAGATGAGTTTACAATCCAGAATTAAAAGTGCATAGCTCCAGTGCCTTCCTAATATCGGAAGGAAGAGCGTTCTAGACGGCCGCAGAAGCACATCTGAAAGCGCGCTAAGAGGTGATCGTCTTTGTTCGATGGCTAGGCAAAAGCCGCTGCGGGGATGACCGGAGTTCGCGTGTGGTGTTGCCGATTCCGGTAACACAAATAAGTTGAGGCAAGTATAATTGATGGATGTGTTTATGCATTTAGATTGTCTCTCAAATATACGCACTATTTAGGGGCGCAACAATTGTACAGAGGTTACTACACTGCAGTATGGAACTGGTGACCTGAGTTAGATTTTTTGCCCATGGCCAACATCAGTAGCAAGCGACATATGAACTGATCCTGGGCATTCACCAACCCACACAGACCAGTGTAGTGAATTATGGTCAAACAACACCTATGACCAAGGTGCCTAAGAAGCCTTCATCAAACAAGGACTTACAAAGGATTATATGTTGTAGATAATGAGTTGAAACAAACCGAATCGAAACTACAAGGTTGTCAAAGGCTCCACCTACACGTACCTCTATGAAAATCAGCTGCGTAACGCTTCATGAGGGATGTGCACATTACCCAAAGGACTTGCCATTTTCTAAATTAATATCCAATGTACCGATTTAACACGCAGTCATCTGTGTAATAATAACAATCAGCGACAAAGCGCACGGGGCTACCGCAGTTCTGGGGGGTGGTGGGGGGGGGGGGGAGTCACAACTCTCGCTTTCAACTCTCCACCTCCTCCCGACCGTGGATAGTCTGTGTTGCGACAGCCTCTGTCCACCACCGCTCGTGCTGCGTACATCCTGGTGCTGGCTGCTAGCGCCCGTGCCCAAGCCCGGCTGCTGGCGTGCGCCGCCCGCCGTCACGGGCCGGCGAGGCTGCTGCCCGCGGGGTCGGCCCGACGGCTCCGAGACCTCGGCTGCCGCGCCAGCGTACCCGGACTTGTTGCCCTAGAAGCAAATCAGAACCGTCAGCGCTCCTCACCGCTTAGGTCTGTGTCGCAGTCTCGTGGGATGAGCGATGCAAGTTCAAATGACTGAACAGTTTACGACTTTCCAATTCTGGAGAAAACAGCAATGTATTGGATGGGCCTAGTCAGATTTTGTTTATTGTTTGTTGCTGTTTGCACTCATTGTATTCCCTCACCTACTACTACTCCAGCTGTCTTTATATTTTTTGTTCAAGGTATGTAAGAATGGGCTCTTGAAGGGGTTAATTGATCAATTGATCTATAAATTATATGCAATGGTGTTTAAGTTTGTTTCTATGAATCATACCTTACAAAGAGAAAACACGGAGGGGCCCAGTTCAACTACTTCTGGATTCCCAGACACAGTGTCCACTGGCTCTAAGCTGGAATGGATCTACAGTGATCCAAGGCAGAAACGAAAACTATATCAGCGGACGGGAACACAATCCTCTAAAGACAAAAGCATTTTGGATGCTTTTTTTGCACAGGTGGACATACAGGCAAGTCGACGCTTCCGTGTGTGCACAGGTGTGAGGATGAGTTGACATGTGAGTGGGTGAATTGGCATGCGAGTAGGTGAGTTGGCAGGCGAGTGGGTGAGTTGGCAGGTGAGAGGATGATCATATGAGTGGTTGGATTGGCAGGTGAGTGAGCAAACTGGTATGTAAGTGGGTGAATTGGCATGTGGGTGACTGAGTTGGCAGATGAGTGGGCAAGTAGGCATATGAATAGGCATGTTGGCAGATGAGTGGCGAAGTTGGCAGGCGAGTAGGTGAGCGAGTGAGTGAGTGAGCAACGTGCCTGAATGCTGTTGGCGCTTTGGCTGTGGGGACGTGGGGAGCGAGGTGGGATGTCGTGGACGTAGGGTGGTGGGTCAGGGTTTGCCCTCTGCTTGTGGCTCCTCAGAACCTCCGAGTAATCCACGGAGTCAAAGTTTGTCTTCCACACCATCACCTAGAGCCAGAGAGCATTTGAAGACTCAAGGAAACCGAAGGCAGAGACGGATGCTTTCCTTGCGCTCATTAAGAGCTCAGCAGCAAAAGGCATTTCCAGAGAGAAAAAAATCAATGCAGTCACAATCACAGTATTGTAAAGATTCAGTCCTGCAATTGCCTGCTCATACAACTGTTGGCAGAAAAAAAAACTCCATGGGAAGGAGATCTAGAGCTAACCATCACACTACGGCTTTCAATACAATACCTTCAAGAGTGTTTTTTTTTAATAGTTTTCATGCATAACTATACACCATTTCATCAAGTACATTGGACTTGACATGATAACCAAGACGGACACGTGTGCATGCACAGCCCTTTGGTTAATCAATGGCTGAGGGCCTTCCAAGTACCATGCGGGTTGAGGAGGTTTTCACCATACTTCCCCACTCTGGTCACGGCAGGTTGGTGAAGGGGGCAACATACAAGTGGCAGCAGTGAAGCAAATAGATTCGTACAATAACAGACTTTGCTACACTGCCCTCTGCTGCCCACAATGCAGCACTGCAGGATCCTTCAGCATCGTGTATGGATTGGGTTAGATCGCGTTAATATATAAATGTGTCGTTAAACCCGCCACAACGCTGGCTGTCGCCTGATGAAGCTCTTTGTAATTACTTGCGAAACGTCGTACTCAGATTGTAAATGTCGTGGCTTGGCTCTCCAACACACTGTACTAGTAACGAATTGGCCACGTTCTGTTTACGTGACAAACCTTTCTCATTGGCTGTGTCGAGTGGTGGCGGGTTTATGGATATTGGTCGCGAAAGCCTACGTGTTAAACTGATCCTGTATGGATGTCTGTTGAACGTCTTTCGTACCGTACGTAGCCGCCCGTGCTAATCGGAGTTGCGGGGGAAAAGATAACAAACTAAACACAAAAGGCAATTGTTTATTCGTGGTAGTCGTTGATCATAGGAGTTACACAGCCTTAAGCCTCCTGAGCTTCCCAGATCTTATGAGACTGGGCGGATTCCAGGAGATTTGGCTGCAGGTGAAACAGGATAACGTGTTCTATTCTATCCTTGGCGTATGGCGATACGCTCAGGAGCTAAACGCCAACGTCGAGCTCTGCTTGCCACGAGAGCGCTTCAGCTTGCCACGAGAGCGCTTCAGCTTGCCACGAGAGCGCTTCAGCTTGCCACGAGAGCGCTTCAGCAGAGAGTTTGTGTAGTTTCTCCATTCCTCCCTTGAAGGAGTGCAGACCACTGGTTTACTACATGGTCCATAGTTTGTGTTAGCATGGCAACAGTCGCACTGTGCTTTGTCTTTAATTCTCCATTCATGAAGGAGATGCGCGCAGCAGCCTGTTGATGTTCCGATGCGGTTGATGGTGACGTCAATTTCACCTCGATGCCGGTATTAGTGGAGTGGTGCTTAAGGTAAGACAGAAACACGTCACAGGTGGGTCAGCAAAAGGCTTCCGTCTCCACGCCGAGGGTAATAAATGCCGTCGCAGACCCACCTGCTCGTCGGAGCCTCCCGATGCAAAGAAATCCCCAGCACGGGAGAAAGCCACTGCTGTGGCTGGGCCCTGAAGAGAAGAACAACGCCGAGATTGCATTTCAAATGTTTTACATTCAAAACTAAACTCTTTCATGAACGCATCTTAGCAAGCGACGAACAAACTCATGAGATTCGAGCGGACAGACAATAACGATCAATGTGGGCATGTGCCAGAACAAGAAAAATTGTAACCAACTTGCTTGCTTTTTCATAACTCATCATCATCATTAGCCATGATCAATCTGTTGCAGGGTAAAGGGCTCGCCGAGCAATCGCAGTCCCTCAGTCCCGTGTTGTATGTATGCATGTTAAATTATTTGCACCGCGCATAGCTAAACGTGCTAATTGTAGGTGTGGGGGAAGCACTGCAAACTATGCAACCATCCACCCAGCACTCGCACACAAGCCGATCTCATGGTTCCATCTCCACGGTGGACATCCTCGTGGGGATGTTCCCACCCCCGGTTGTGACTCAACCACTAATCTCGTCCACAGGCCACTATCCCCCTTCCTAGCGACGCGTCTCACCCCATGCCACTTACCCTTTGTAAAGTTTTGAATTCCCATTAACCTGTGTAAGTTCACCAAGCAACGTGCTCCTCTGTCTGTCTCTGAGTGTATTACAAAAAGCACGTATCTTTCTTTTTCCCATTTGTATCTCTGTATAAATGTGTTGGAACACCACCATCGAGTGTCAGCCTTGGCTACAATGAAACCGATTCCACCGTAGTAGACGACCTGGGTTTCGAGAGCAGCCCACCTGGTGGCCGTGCAGGGTGTAGAAGAGGCGCCCCTCCACCAGGTCCAGCACCTTGAGGGTTGAGTCATTGGAGGCGGTGATGAGGTAGTTGCCGGTCGGGTGGAAGGAGAGGGAATTCACCGCCGCACCATGGACTGCAAATAAAAATTAACCCGAAGGAGAAGAAAAAAACACGTCATGGCATTAAACCTCCTTTGCCAGTAGCAAAATATAATAATAGGGTTTTTCCCCTTTTTTTCTGGCAACAAAACTGAAACCTTTTTACAAGGATTCATGTCAGCATTAACCACAATACTTGCAGGAAAAATGCTCACAAAAAACACACTGATAATATATGCATTGTCCTTGAAACTGATTGGTCCACACCAGAGACAGTAAATGTTGAGGGTACACAGGTGCTTTTGTTTCACAACATTAATGGGTAACACCTCATCAATGTGTCTTTTATCTCACTGTGTAACGATTTATCACCGACGTGACTTTTCTTTGACGACAGAAACTTCCTATTACAATACCCTCAACATTTACTGTACACAGCTCAGCTATAGTTTATGGTGGGGGTATGTAACATTACACACACGTGTACAATATCAGAGCTGTATGCAGTAGAGAGTGTGATGTGTAATGTTATGAACAACCTCATCCCTTGGGTCCGGGTAACGCGGATGAGAGCTCTCACCCTGGTAGTGCTGCAGCAGCTTGTTCATGCGGATGTCCCACACCTTCACCGTGTTGTCCGTGCCCGCAGCAGCGATGCACGTCCCGCTCGGGTGAAAGTCCACCTGGTTCACGAAGCTGTGCATGGCAGGAAGGGTGGACGTTGCCACTCGGAAGGCAAGACCCTTGGCTTTGGTAACAACAGTTTAAGTTGCTCACGGAAGGCAGGTTACATAGAGGAAGATTAAACTTAATACAAAAATAGTTGATTATCGTGTAGATTTTGACTACTCAACGTGAGTATGAAGCTTCGTTCATGAGAAAACACTGTAACGTTACTTTCCAGCATGATATCGCAGGATGTCACCCCACTAATTTGTAATAAAATGTAAAGCAGTGATGGCACAGTTATATCACTATAGTGCAGTAATGGCTTGCCTGCTAGAACTTCAAGTGTCTCTTTTTCTATAAACTTACCCTTGAACTCAAGCCTGACAACCCGTGATTACACAGCCTAATCACTACATTTTTTGTGAGTTCAGTGGCGCATAAGCACAATGTTACATGCTATGAAGGTCTATGCAAGATGGTGCCTATCAATTTTTTTCTTTTCCTTTTAGCGTAAGGCTTTTGTGAATGTGGTTGAATCATAAGAGAACATTATTTTACAGTTGCATTGTACTTTGTTCGTAGACCCATAAGGTAAGTGGTTAACCCACGCCACTCTACAAATCCGACGTCGCGAGTTTGACTCCCGGCCACGGCTAACATCAGTGGCGTGTGACATCTCAACTTGTCCGCGGCTCCCTTGTGAGGTGTGCGAGACGTGAGGAGCTGTGTGCGTGGGCAGTAGCAGCTGTGTGTGTGTGTGTGGGCAGCAGGAGCTGTGTGTGTGGGTAGCAGGAGCTGTGTGTGTGTGGGCAGAAGGAGCTTTATGTGTGGGCAGCAGGAGATGTGTGTGTGTGTGTGGGCAGCAGCAGCTGTGTGTGTGTGGACAGCAGGGTGGCAGTGACGAACCCTCCGTGCTCGTAGAAGGTGTGCACGCACTCCCGGCTATTCGAGTCCCACACGCGCACCGTGCGGTCGTCGCTTCCCGACACGATGAGCCGCCCGTCGGGTGAGAATCTGCATCACCGAGGAGGTGGGACGACACGCGGAGATCGCAACATTGCCACCCGCCCGATATCTATAGCACCAATGATATTAACCAATTTGTAGTTGTATTAGCATAAAAAATATTAGTCCAGAGTTGACTCGGCACTTAATTTCTCTTTGGTTGATCAAGTGAGTACCACTTTGTTGTCCTACGGAAAAACCTGACCCAGCATAGGAATGCGGAGTTTATACAAATGGCTCAGGGCTGTAAAGAGGAGGTGACGGCCACCCCATGATCTTTGAGTCGAACATTACAATTGTGTTGTGTACAAATTGTGCATACAATAAAATTAAATCGAATCAATCTCAGTGACTTGAATGGATAAACTGCAATAAATTATATTCTATAACAACAAATGATTCTATTTCAAGGTAACCTGTGCTCAGCATGGCTTACAATAGATTAAACATTTTTTACAAATTGGTTACCAGTAAAACAAATACAAACCTCAGCATGAGAACTTACTTAGCACTTCGGACCCAGTTGGAGTGCTGGTTGAGGGAGTAGAGGAATTTCTGGCGGTGGACTGTCCACACTTTGATGGACTTGTCGTCCGAGGCGGTGACCAGAGACTGCCCGTCAGCCGAGAAGCTCACGCTGCGCACGGTGGCCGTGTGCGCCTTGAACACCGTCGACTCTCCTTTCCTGTCGCACGTGTGGCACGCGCGCCCGTCGTTACGCGCGACGTCATTGTTACCGCCAATTAAATACTGCCGAGGACAAACGCACACCGCAAAGCGTTACGGAATCCACGCGCGTGGTGCACGAATTGTTTTTTTTGCTGTGCCAGACAGACCGTTATGCGCATGGTCTCGCGTTTGTGTTTTTTGTCGTTGCGCCCTTCCTCGAAGGCTGACGAAGAGGGGGGCCCCCATGCGCGAGCGACACTCACACGCTGGGCACCCACAGTCGGACCGTCTTGTCGCGTGAGGCCGACACGACAAGGTGGCCGGACGGGGAGAACTGCACGCTCATCACAGCGTCCTTGTGGCCCACAAAGCGGTATGCGCGCGTCTGCGGCTTGAAGTTCCACACCATGAGACAGGCGTCCATGGAACCGCTCGCTGCAACGCACGCACGCATGCACACAGGCACGCTTAACAAAACAGAGAGGAAGGTGGCCAAATGTCTCTGAAGTCAGCGCCGCAAGCGGCTGTGTTTAATCCGGGGGGTAGCCACCCATTATTAAACCGGGTTTTCAAGTATTGGGTCAATGGTCTCAGGCTGGTCACCTTTTATTGCACACGATTCATTAAGTAAAATTAGTTTCGTGTTTAAATTGGCAGCTTCGATAATTAGTGTAACTGACATTTAACAATCTCATCAACCCCTACTGTCTAAAGGATAGAAAGACTACTTGAAGGATTTTTTTATCCTGTGAAAAATCTCCACCATAGCCATTTCTCAGACAATTGCGGTGCACTGCTTGAACAGCATTCATAATGCATTCTTAAAAAAAATTTACCGGCAGATCAGGACACACCGCCAGAAGGGTTAACGCCCGATGGTCGCGGCTAACAACAAAATGACAGACAGAGAATGGACATGTCCGAGAGGAGGTCTACCAGGGACACGGAGTGGTGAAATCTATTCGTGTTCACGCTAAAGATGGATTAGTCGGTTTAATATGTAGGCTTTTGCGACCAAAATTATCCATAACAGAAGTTTTCTGGTGGTGGCGGGTTTAATGACACATTTATATTCCCGCAATCTAACCCAAAAATCTCTGTTGTGGAAAGATGAATTGTCGCATCGCAAGACTGTGAGCGACGGTAACAGTTTGGGAAGGCCTGTATCCAGCAGTGGATAGATCCTGTTCGAAAGATTATCGATTAGGATTGGACACTGGGCACAACACTTGCCCAGTTGCTTCATGTTGGGGTTGAAGTCCACGCTGGTAATCGTGTCACGGTGGCCCTTGAAGTGCCTCTCCAGGCTTGGGTCCTCCTGCCATGACGACACGTGGAGGCATTTTAAAAGGCCAATTGTCTTGGCACAAGGCAGCATTTGTAAACGTAAAATGTCATCATGCAAACACTGCACTCGCATTAAAACACCACTACCATCTAGCAAGCCTACGGCACTGTAAATAAAGTACAAAAATTGTAATTACACGCACTCGAAAATCTAGTGCAATATATGCACACGCAAGAACATCTATGCACAACGTGAATAGGGAGTATCATTCTTTCATAACAGTAAAATAATACACAATATATTCGGTGCAACTGCGTGTTGTTGGAAGAATATCTTAATAAGATAGTGGTATATAGAATTGAAAAAACGAGTATATCTTATCGTACCAGTTACATAGGTTGTCGTCTTAGCATCCAGTCATTATTAATGGGGGGGGGGGGGTTCAATTAATCAAAGAACCGCAAATCCATGTTGGGGTTAAGTACAAATTAAAGATTTAGGAACGATATTAAAAATGCATTTGATTGAGCGAAGCTGTGTGTAAACATGTGGTTCTCATCTAAATGGTTTCTTATACGTAAGGCTGCTGTATACAAAAACACTGCATGGACCCTGAATCCGGTGGACAGTTGCATAAAAACTACAAGTGAATGCACCGTCAACATTCGTTAAACAAGTGACATTTATAACCAATCAATAGCCAATTAGAACAAGAAATATTGTTTTAAAAGGGATTCCATAATTAAACTGCACAGCCAGCAAGCAGATTTCAATATGTGTGATTTATTTTAATTTATACCTACGTGACTTTACCGAAAGAACCAAAGAGTATAAAACAGTCACGAAAGCTTCAAATATAGAATTATAAAACACAGTGTTTTATATTTGCCCACTAACCGTGCACGTAACTTTCATCGGGCCCCAAATGACCCCAAGCTCTGGCTCCTACAGGTAGACATCTCACCAGTACAGAAGTCATCCTCGTGTGTGAACTTGGCCCTTGGTCAACGAAGTCGCCAGGGGCCTGCCCAGTCTTCTTCACTTTCAGCGCCTCGAGGTCACGTTCGGGTCACGTTCGGTATCGGGCTCTGCCGACCTTAACCTTACCTGTGCGTCTACCTGTGAGGATGTTTGTTCTTGTGACTCTGTGTGCATTTGTCTATGTGCGTCTGTGCGTATTTGTCTATGTCTATCTTATGTTGGGTAAACGACTTGGTCTATGCGTGTCTTTGTCTTCACCTACGGTGTGTGTCTTTGCCCGTGTCTCTGAATTTATCTCCGTGTCTGCGTCTCTGTATTTACTATATGTCTCTCTACCTTTGCGACTCAATGTTTGTGTCTCTGTATGTGTGTTTGCCTGTGTATATAAATGTGTATCTGTGTCTCTATCTATGCTTATCTGTGAGTTTGTCTCTGTGTCTCTGTCTCTTTCCGCGTCTCTGTGTCTGTCTGTGTCTATGCGTGTCTCTGTGGCTGTTTCTCACTGTCTCCCTGTCTCTCTGTTTTTGTCGCTGTCTCTCTGTCGCTGTGTAGCTGTCTCTTGTGTCTCTCTGTCTTTGTCGCTGTGTATCTGTCTCTGCGTGTCTCTGAGTCTCTCTGTCTCTGTGTCTCTCTGTGTCTGTCTCTCTGTCTTTGTTGCTGTCTCTCTGTCTGTGTATCTGTCTCTCTGTGTCTCTGTCTGTCTCTGTGTGTGTCTCTCTGTGTCTGTCTTTGTGTATCTGTCTGTGTATGTCTCTGTGTATGTCTCTGTCTATCGCTGTCTGTCTGTGTCTCTCTGTCTCTGTCTGTGTCTCTCTCTCTGTCTCTGTCTGTGTCTCTCTCTCTGTCTCTGTCTGTGTCTCTCTCTCTGTCTCTGTCTGTGTCTCTCTCTCTGTCTCTGTCTGTGTCTCTCTCTCTCTGTCTGTGTCTCTCTCTCTGTCTCTGTCTGTGTCTCTCTCTCTTCTGTCTGTGTCTCTCTCTCTGTCTCTGTCTGTGTCTCTCTCTCTGTCTCTGTCTGTGTCTCTCTCTCTGTCTCTGTCTGTGTCTCTCTCTCTCTGTCTGTGTCTCTCTCTGTCTCTGTCTGTGTCTCTCTCTGTCTGTGTCTCTCTCTCTCTGTCTGTGTCTCTCTCTCTCTGTCTCTGTCTGTGTCTCTCTCTCTGTCTCTGTCTGTGTCTCTCTCTCTGTCTCTGTCTGTGTCTCTCTCTCTGTCTCTGTCTGTGTCTCTCTCTCTGTCTCTGTCTGTGTCTCTCTCTCTGTCTCTGTCTGTGTCTCTCTCTCTGTCTCTGTCTGTGTATCTCTCTGTCTCTGTCTGTGTCTCTCTCTCTGTCTCTGTCTGTGTATCTCTCTGTCTCTGTCTGTGTCTCTCTGTCTCTGTCTGTGTCTCTCTGTCTCTGTCTGTGTCTCTCTCTCTCTGTCTCTGTCTGTGTCTCTCTCTCTGTCTCTGTCTGTGTCCTCTTCTCTGTCTGTGTCTCTCTCTCTGTCTCTGTCTGTGTCTCTCTCTCTCTGTCTCTGTCTGTGTCTCTCTCTCTGTCTCTGTCTGTGTATCTCTCTGTCTCTGTCTGTGTCTCTCTGTCTCTGTCTGTGTCTCTCTGTCTCTGTCTGTGTCTCTCTCTCTCTGTCTCTGTCTGTGTCTCTCTCCTCTGTCTCTGTCTGTGTCTCTCTCTCTCTGTCTCTGTCTGTGTATCTCTCTCTGTCTCTGTCTGTGTCTCTCTCTCTGTCTCTGTCTGTGTCTCTCTCTCTGTCTCTGTCTGTGTCTCTCTCTCTCTGTCTCTGTCTGTGTATCTCTCTGTCTCTGTCTGTGTATCTCTCTCTCTCTCTGTCTGTGTCTCTCTCTCTGTCTCTGTCTGTGTCTCTCTCTCTGTCTCTGTCTGTGTCTCTCTCTCTGTCTCTGTCTGTGTCTCTCTCTCTCTGTCTCTGTCTGTGTATCTCTCTGTCTCTGTCTGTGTATCTCTCTCTGTTCTCTTGTCTGTGTCTCTCTCTCTGTCTCTGTCTGTGTCTCTCTCTCTGTCTCTGTCTGTGTCTCTCTCTCTCTGTCTCTGTCTGTGTATCTCTCTGTCTCTGTCTGTGTATCTCTCTCTCTCTCTGTCTGTGTCTCTCTCTCTGTCTCTGTCTGTGTCTCTCTCTCTCTGTCTCTGTCTGTGTATCTCTCTGTCTCTGTCTGTGTCTCTCTCTCTGTCTCTGTCTGTGTATCTCTCTCTCTGTCTCTGTCTGTGTATCTCTCTGTCTCTGTCTGTGTCTCTCTCTCTCTGTCTGTGTCTCTCTCTCTGTCTCTGTCTGTGTCTCTCTCTCTGTCTCTGTCTGTGTCTCTCTCTCTGTCTCTGTCTGTGTATCTCTCTGTCTCTGTCTGTGTCTCTCTGTCTCTGTCTGTGTCTCTCTGTCTCTGTCTGTGTCTCTCTCTCTGTGTCTCTGTCTGTCTATCTCTCTCTGTCTCTGTGTCTCTCTCTCTGTCTCTGTCTGTGTATCTCTCTGTCTCTGTCTGTGTCTCTCTCTCTGTCTCTGTCTGTGTCTCTCTCCTCTCTGGTCTCTGTCTGTGTATCTCTCTGTCTCTGTCTGTGTCTCTCTCTCTGTCGCTGTCTGTGTCTCTCTCTCTGTCTCTGTCTGTGTCCCTCTCTCTCTGTCTCTGTCTGTGTATCTCTCTGTCCTCTGTCTGGGTCTCTCTGTCTCTGTCTGTGTCTCTCTGTCTCTGTCTGTGTCTCTCTCGCTGTTCTCTGTCTGTGTCTCTCTGTCCTGTCTGTGTCTCTCTCTCTGTCTCTGTCTGTGTCTCTCTCTCTGTCTCTGTCTGTGTCTCTCTCTCTGTCTCTGTCTGTGTCTCTCTCTCTGTCTCTGTCTGTGTATCTCTCCTGTCTCTGTCTGTGTCTCTCCTCTGTCTGTGTCTGTGTCTCTCTCTCTGTCTCTGTCTGTCTCTCTCTCTCTGTCTCTGTCTGTGGTCTCTCTCTCTTCTCTGTCTGTGTATCTCTCTGTCTCTGTCTGTGTCTCGTCTTCTGTCTGGTTCTCTCTCTCTGTACTCTGTCGGTGTCTGTCTCCTCTCTGTCTCTGTCTGTGTCCTCTCTCTCTGTCTCTGTCTGTGTCTCTCTCTCTGTCTCTGTCTGTGTCTCTCTGTTCTGTCTGTGTCTCTCTCTCTGTCTCTGTCTGTGTCTCTCTCTCTCTGTCTCTGTCTGTGTCTCTCTCCTCTCGTCTCTGTCTGTCTCTCTCTCTCTGTCTCTGTCTGTGTCTCTCTCTCTGTCTCTGTCTGTGTCTCTCTCTCTGTCTCTGTCTGTGTCTCTCTCTCTCGTGTCTCTGTCTGTGTCTCTCTCCCTCGTCCTCTGTCTGTGTCTCTCTCTCTGTCTCTGTCTGTGTCTCTCTCTCTGTCTCTCGTCTGTGTCTCTCTCTCTGTCTCTGTCTGTGTATCTCTCTCTCTGTCTCTGTCTGTGTCTCTCTCTCTGTCTCTGTCTGTGTATCTCTCTGTCTCTGTCTGTGTCTCTCTCTCCTGTCTCTGTCTGTGTCTCTCTCTCTCTGTCTCTGTCTGTGTCTCTCTCTCTGTCTCTGTCTGTGTCTCTCTCTCTGTCTCTGTCTGTGTCTCTCTCTCTCTGTCTCTGTCTGTGTCTCTCTCTCTCTCTGTCTCTGTCTGTCTCTCTCTCTCTGTCTCTGTCTGTGTCTCTCTCTCTGTCTCTGTCTGTGTCTCTCTCTCTGTCTCTGTCTGTGTCTCTCTCTCTCTGTCTCTGTCTGTGTCTCTCTCTCTGTCTCTGTCTGTGTCTCTCTCTCTGTCTCTGTCTGTGTCTCTCTCTCTGTCTCTGTCTGTGTCTCTCTCTCTGTCTCTGTCTGTGTATCTCTCTCTCTGTCTCTGTCTGTGTCTCTCTCTCTGTCTCTGTCTGTGTATCTCTCTGTCTCTGTCTGTGTCTCTCTCTCTCTGTCTCTGTCTGTGTCTCTCTCTCTCTGTCTCTGTCTGTGTCTCTCTCTCTGTCTCTGTCTGTGTCTCTCTCTCTGTCTCTGTCTGTGTCTCTCTCTCTCTGTCTCTGTCTGTGTCTCTCTCTCTCTGTCTCTGTCTGTCTCTCTCTTCTCTGTCTCTGTCTGTGTCTCTCTCTCTGTCTCTGTCTGTGTCTCTCTCTCTGTCTCTGTCTGTGTCTCTCTCTCTCTGTCTCTGTCTGTGTCTCTCTCTCTGTCTCTGTCTGTGTCTCTCTCTCTGTCTCTGTCTGTGTCTCTCTCTCTGTCTCTGTCTGTGTCTCTCTCTCTGTCTCTGTCTGTGTATCTCTCTCTCTGTCTCTGTCTGTGTCCTCTCTCTCTGTCTCTGTCTGTGTATCTCTCTGTCTCTGTCTGTGTCTCTCTCTCTCTGTCTCTGTCTGTGTCTCTCTCTCTCTGTCTCTGTCTGTGTCTCTCTCTCTGTCTCTGTCTGTGTATCTCTCTGTCTCTGTCTGTGTCTCTCTCTCTCTGTCTCTGTCTGTGTCTCTCTCTCTGTCTCTGTCTGTGTATCTCTCTGTCTCTCTCTGTCTGTGTCGCTGTCTCCGTCTCCGCGTTCGCGTTTTGCCGCCGCAAGCGCGCGCCTCACCTCTGATTGGACAACGCTGCACGAGGTCGGAGGTCGCGGCAACGGCCACGGGAAGCGATTGCAGCCGAAACGCGATTTTAAAGTCAATACAAACAAGAATTAACCAAAATAAACTGTTCGCATTTGTGTTTATGTTGATAACGATTTAGCGTTACGTGTCAAATACAGCAGTTAGATTATTTGCTTCCTAAATGATCCAGTATAGCACTGAAAATGTACTTCAGTTCTTACACATAGCAGTTTATAGTTTCTAAGTTTAGAGGGAAGAAACTATGTGCGAGGCTTCCAGAGACAGGGGCGGGGCTACTCGAGCAGTGGGCGGGGCTAGCAGGCGAGTGGGCGGGGCCTGTGAGAAGTGGGCGGTGCCAGCAGGTGAGTGGGCGGGGCTTGTGAGAAGTGGACGATGCCAGCAGGCGAGTGGGCGGGGCTTGTGAGAAGTGGGCGGTGCCAGCAGGCGAGTGGGCGGGGCTTGTGAGAAGTGGGCGGTGCCAGCAGGCGAGTGGGCGGGACTTGTGAGAAGTGGGCGGGGCTAGCAGGTGAGTGGGCGGGGCTTGTGAGAAGTGGGCGGTGCCAGCAGGTGAGTGGGCGGGGCTTGTGAGAAGTGGGCGGTGCCAGCAGGCGAGTGGGCGGGGCTTGTGAGAAGTGGGCGGTGCCAGCAGGTGGGTGGGCGGGGCTTGTGAGAAGTGGGCGGTGCTAGCAGGTGAGTGGGCGGGGCTTGTGAGAAGTGGGCGATGCCAGCAGGCGAGTGGGCGGGGCCTGTGAGAAGTGGGCGGTGCCAGCAGGTGAGTGGGCGGGGCTTGTGAGAAGTGGGCGGTGCCAGCAGACGAGTGGGCGGGGCTTGTGAGAAGTGGGCGGTGCCAGCAGGTGAGTGGGCGGGGCTTGTGAGAAGTGGGCGGTGCCAGCAGGTGAGTGGGCGGGGCTTGTGAGAAGTGGGCGGTGCCAGCAGGTGAGTGGGCGGGGCTTGTGAGAAGTGGGCGGTGCCAGCAGGCGAGTGGGCGGGGCTTGTGAGAAGTGGGCGGTGCCAGCAGGCGAGTGGGCGGGGCTTGTGAGAAGTGGGCGGTGCCAGCAGGTGAGTGGGCGGGGCTTGTGAGAAGTGGGCGGTGCCAGCAGGCGAGTGGGCGGGGCTTGTGAGAAGTGGGCGGTGCCAGCAGGTGAGTGGGCGGGGCTTGTGAGAAGTGGGCGGTGCCAGCAGGCGAGTGGGCGGGGCTTGTGAGAAGTGGGCGGTGCCAGCAGGCGAGTGGGCGGGGCTTGTGAGAAGTGGGCGGTGCCAGCAGGTGAGTGGGCGGGGCTTGTGAGAAGTGGGCGGTGCCAGCAGGCGAGTGGGCGGGGCTTGTGAGAAGTGGGCGGTGCCAGCAGGTGAGTGGGCGGGGCTTGTGAGAAGTGGGCGGTGCCAGCACGCGCCACCTTTATCCGTTGAGCCAGAAATGTGGTAGTTTTACTGGTAGGGAACCTCCTGGTTACACCAGCCCACAGGGGATTGTTGTGTCCGTCCGTCGTGCAGGGAGGGGCTGGGTGGGGAGGGTGGGGAGGGGCTGGGTGGGGAGGGGAGGGTGGGGAGGGGCTGGTCATCCCGTGGTGCCCTTATAAAACTCAATGTTTAACCTACTCACGCCGGCTTGTGCCCGCCCTCAGTCGGGCATATTTGCGGAATACACCACGCCGCCGTTGACCGAGCAACCCAACGTTCCTACCAGCTCCCTGCGCAGGAATGTGTTAACTGTTCATCATACAGGTTGTTTGGGTTAGATCGCGTAACATTGAAAATGTCAACATTGAAAGTGTTGTGGCTTAGCTCTCCAACACATCATCGGTGTGCTGTACTCGTAACGAATTGGCACGTGCTGTTTACGTGACAAACCGTACTGATTGACTGTGTCGGGTGGTGGCGGGTTTAACGACACGTTTATATATTTAAGCGATCCAACCCAAAAAAACTGTATAATGCATGATATTGGTCGCGAAAGCCTCGGTGTTAAACAGTTTTAACTATTGTCTGGGGAGAATGGGCTCACGCTTAGCCGTGTGAATAAGACCCTATAGAAAACGGCATGGAATAGATACATCTATCGCTCCGTCGGTCGATAAATTAGTGCTACATAAAATAGAAAGTCAACATTTGTGGTCTTGTGGGAGTAACTGAGCCACTGCCATGGGTATGTGGCATTTATACAGCTTGGCTATCAAGAGGCGTGTGAGCCGTGCCACTGCTCGTCTGAGCAAAGAGGAACGCGATGTTCGGGGCCGTCCATAAATGACGTCACGCACCTGGTGGGGGGGGGGGGGGTCAGACATTTGTGACGATGTGTGACGAAGGGGGGGGGGGGAGTTTGAGAAATGTGACGTCACAGACAACACGTTCTACTTAAATATACTTTTTATATACTTTTTAATAAATTTTTTCTCCTACAACATCATAGTGCAGCGGCACATTAAATAAGCACTCTACAATGACAATAGTTTAAAGCGATTTGAAGCATGTTTTATTTTTTGTGGGGGGGGGGGGGGCAGAGCTTTGTGACGTCATATTTGAGGGGTGGTCTGACTTTTTGTGACGCCGTGTGACGATGGGGGGGGGGGGGTCAAAAATCGTCCAAAATCGCGTGACGTCATTTATGGACGGCCCCTTAGACTGCACGCTGGTGTCGCCCAAAAACACACGTGGAAGCGATAGCATCCCAACTTGTCCTTCGGTATCCATGACTCAAGAGGCCTAGTCACAGGCTCCGCGGCTGAAACACAACCCAGCAGGCCGTGTGGCTGGTGTGTAAGAAATACTATTACTTTTTAATGTACAGAGACGCATATGTGAAGAAGATGTATTGTCTGCTAATTTATGTTTAAACTCCCTCGCCTGGCATGCAGGAGGTCGTGGGTTCGATCCCAACCCTGACGCCTGCTGCTGTATATTTGGAGTTTGCGTGTTCTCTCTCATCATCATCACGGTGGCTAGGAGATGTTGACTACCTCGCCTGGTATACAGGAGGTCGTGGGTTCGATCCCAACCCTGACGCCTGCTGCATATTTGGAGTTTGCGTGTTCTCCCCGTGGTCACGTGGGTTTTGCTCCAGGTCTTTCCCTCCGCGTTTTGATTCACGCGTTTAGGGTATTTGGGCTGCTATATATTGCCACGCGATAAGCCACTTTGTTGAGCTATAATTTGTGGCCAGGTTACTTCTGAGTAAGAGCTACATAGCTCAGTGGGCCTTACCTGGGGGGAAAAAATATACTTTAGTTTTATAATATTATCCACAACACCTCTGATAATTTCCAGAACAGAGTGGTGATGCACGGTTAAACAGAGGCATCAGGAAAACCTTGGATGCAGGGAGTTTGACTCATGCACCTGCTGTTTGGCAAGATAACTTATAGGGATAACTAACCACTCTCACAAGTCTCGAAACTGGGAGAGAACAAAACGATTTGGAAACTCACACGTTCGTGATCATTAGGGCATTTATTTATTTAGTTTATTGGTAATCACAAAATAATGCATGCGATGTTCAAAAGTTGGTTGAAAAAAAATAATTTAAAAAAGGCACTATGAGCTAAATTTTACATCAGTTGGCAGAAACTGCATCGGTGTTTTCCCTCCAAAGCAGCTTTTCTGTGATGAAGTGCCTGGACCTCCCTCCAATGCGAAAATGCCTTCTCTGCCTAATTTGACCAATTTTAGTCAATAAACTACAAAACGTACTCCCCAATATATACCTCCAACCTCTCATATCCATCCCACCCTTGCAGCCTATTCCAGCTTGGACCCCGATCGTAATTGTAGTTTTATTTCTTTAGCCTATTCCCAAAACACTCACTACTGTTCACGTATTATAAGCATGTTATATTTTTTACAGTATGTTTAAAAACACAGGCTTACATAAACCTCACTACGTCATCCGTTTAAAATGCTGACAACATTTGTTTGCACATATGTTACATGTGAAACTGTTAAAGGGACAATTATATTTTTGGTGATAATGTGCCCAAAAAATATAGGCGTCATCACAACACATTTTCAATGTACGGTGTACAGGCAAAGCAATATATAATATACAAGATGCTGTTACATTTTACAAGGACATTTTTGAAAGCACACATCATGAACATTCACCTCTAGCAGCCAGTGAAGCATCAAAGGCCAGCACAGGTATTTTTTTTGGTTTTTGTTAAAAACACAATTTGCAGTACCTGTGCTCCATTTTTGTTCCACGTCTCGGAATGTTGGCGTCGCTGAACGTGAAATGGCTCGGAGAGACATTTATAATAAGCACACAGCATACTGCTCTCACCAAATGGACCGTGCCCCATATTCCCGACTGTTCAAATGCCTGTTGTTGATCTAGAGTTGAACTTTGACCCTCCGGCTAAATAAAAAAACAATCCCGAGTATTGGTGCATTTTTAGGATGATTTCTGGTCGTGTCGGCATGTCCACGCGCTCGCTCGCTCGCTCACACGCGCCACGTGTTAGCGATGGACAAATTGGACGGGGAAATAAATATCACCCAAAAACAGGGGAGTTGTACGGTGGCATGATGACTCATGGGGATGCACAATACCAGTTCATGCATACATAACCCTCGCACGATTGGAACGTGATCCAGTTAATTGGTAACACGTGAAATTCGTCCTTGGGTTGCACTATTAATGTACACAATTTAGAAGGGTACTGTTGTCTGACAGTATTCAGCTCATTTACAAAAGCTGTATTCCCACAGGCAATCAAACCAGGCTGCTTTTGGTTCCTGCATTCCACGAGTCTGAAAACCTGATTCAGATTTAACGACTTCAACGTCACACGTCGGTTTTCGCAGCCAATATGATTTTTGGAGTTAGGCCACGGAATGATAAGACGTTTAAAATGTATAATTGTCGCCGTAAGTAGTCGTTCACGACTGTGCAAGCTCAGCTGCAGGCGTCTTCATTCGTGTACCACTTTAACTTCCATCCGAGGCAGCACCGTGGCAATGGTGACGCGGTTGCTGCTGATGTTGCCCACATTTTCACACAATAAATGTAGGCAATTAATATATCAGCCGTATTTCTAACATCTAAAAAATAAAAAATAAACCTGTACAGTAACTTTCATGGGGAAAAAAAACACTTGTTCCGGTAATTTGTCATTATACAAACTCTTAACTGGCATTAAGATGTGGATTTAACCAGGGGAAGAGCATAACCGGCCACGTGGGCTCAAACCACCACTTTCTCTTTCATAAACAAACAAAAACTAAGTCATTTATAAGCCGTTAATATGTTTGCTTATTCTTGAGTACAATTGTTTACTCTACACTCTAGTTAAGATCTCTAAACTCTCGTCTGTGCTGCTGTCACCATGTGCCCGTGCAGAGTTCACAACTCTGCACGGGGGAGTCGGCGGGGGGGGGCATTCAATTACGGAGCCATCCCCACCACCGACATAAAAAAACAAAAAAACAATAAATGACTATACAACTCGATTTAAAACGACTATACACTCGCTTTAAAACGAACTTTTCTTTTTTACATGTCAGGGCAGATTGACAACGTGACACACTTGGCCTCAACACATTTTCATTGCCCCATTTGGAGGCAATGGAAACATCGACACGTTTTCACCAAATAAAAAATGAATGCGAAGGAATATTCACCGTGTAAAATTTGGTTAATAGAATATAAATATATATGTTAAGGTTAAAATTCGTTTGAATGAAATATTTACTTTATTAGCTTATGGAAAAGTAGGCACCAATTCCTCAGGAGGGCGGCTCTCTTGAGCTCCCCTCTCGTGGAGGCCTTTCCTCCAGCAGTGACGTAAGCGAGCACTTGCAGGGCTGCACTTTTAGCTCTTAGTAGCGGAATGCTTGGTAAAATATCTTCTGGAATTGTACTGAACAATCACAAGTCAAATATAGCATCGGTTGTTATGATGAGCCTCTGACGAAGCCACACGTAATACATCAGATTTCGTAAAAACTTGGGAAGATAAGCACGGTTGAGCCTGGATAATTCATTGGATGGGCGACCCCAATGCAACAAGTTGCGATGGAGCTGCGGAGCCACGTTTTGGGCATTGCAACACAATCCATGACCCCGCTGGAATCATATTTCTAAATGTGGAGGGAAAAACCGGAGGACCCGGAGAAAAATGCACGCGACCACGGGGAGAACACGCAAACTCCAAATATACAGGCGTTGGGGTCAGGATCGAACCCACGACATCCTCCATACCAAGCGAGGTAGTTAACATCTCGCCACCGCAGCGCCCCAAGCCACAGTGAGCAGCGTGGTGAAGTATGGTCAAACAGCCCCCACGACCCGCAACGCCTTGGGGAAGCCCCTCATCCAGTAGTGGATTGACACAATGGCTGGCTGCATATGCATCATGATGAACAGAGCATTCAGATACACACTGGGTGGATGAGCTAAATGTGGGCGCCAAGTGTCCAGATGCGTAGCTAGGGGGGGGGGGGGGGCAGGGGGGTACATATGTCCCCGGGCGCCAAGGTAAAGGGGCGCCAAAATGAGGCTTACAACGTGACATGATAACTTATTGCGGCGGGCGCGGCAGCCTGAAACTACTGCACAAATCTACACCTCAACCTAAAAGTTTATATATCCCGCCACACACAGCCGACATGTCATGTAATTACATTTTGGTATGTGATTAAACGGGGGGGAGCGCCAATTTTTATAGTTCGTCCCCGGGCGCAAATTATCCTAGCTACGCCACTGCAAGTGTCTGCATGTGAAATGGCTCATTGGTGAAGTGAATGATAACAGTTGACAGCTAACACGTGGCAGTGTTTCTACTCGTGCTTGTCTGCTCCCCTTCCCTACCTCTGAGCAACGCACAAAGCCGCAACACTTATTGGTTAAATAAAAAACAAGTAGTGACGCCATTACTTTGTAAAAAAAATAAACATGACAATTCAACGTTAAGTTATGAAATATTCCAGGATCCATTTAAGTCAAAACACCTTAAATCACAATGTTCTTATTTTTCTAGTCGCTTGCCATATTGGGCGTTGGGGCCACGACCGCTCACTCCACCAACATATCCTTGCCATGCTCTCTCCACTTCTCTCTGTCATTTTCAACGTCCGATCTTTTTTAAAGTTCGACGTCCGCTCAGATTGATGGTGCTGTATCTTCCCCGAGCGCAGCGGTTCCTAACCCCTTGCGTCTACAGACCACCGGTGGTCCGCCAAACTTTTGCAGACACTTTTTTTTGTTATAAAAAAAAATGCTATTGGGGTGGTCCGCAAATTTGTTTTGAGAGGTGATAGTGAGTTGGTTCACGAAAAAAGGTCTGGAACATCCCACCCGAGCACCTGCCTCAGTGTTCCCTCCACCAACATACTAAGCATGTATGCATGCGCAACTTCTTTCGCACCGTACGTAGCCAACCGTCTAAAAGTAGGTGCAATCTCTGGTCAGCTACTCTCAAGCGGAACCTAAGGGTGCTTCTACGCACCTGGAAGGTTTTATTAATGTAATAATGTCGTCGTTACAAAATGTAGTTACATTTTGAATAATAATTCAAGACCGCTTGTGTTGCGATTGAAACGTCGTGGGTTTTTTGCTTTTATTATTTTCAAATTTGTATTTACTTATTTTATCATTTTTGTTTGTTTTCTATCTACATCATTTTACCGAAAGAACCAATAATATAACAACTACACCCAGTTATGTGATAACAAACCTCAAGGGTTGCTCCCACTTCACGCGACTGCATTCAAAGAAAACTCCCACAAGGGGGCAGTGAATCTCTGCTTGAAACAAAAGTGGCGATGGTTATAAATTGACGCTTTCATTCCTGCTCAGATCAGTTCAAACCTCGCCGCACACACACACACGAGTAGTAGCAGCAGCAGATAAGTCACAGAAGACTCCACTTTCGAAAGTTGGATTATATTATCGAGGTCACCCCTTGTTCCGTCACAAGGTTTAGGCGTGGGGAGGGGGGGGGGTGGTACCTTTACACATTTGAGCATGCACCTCATACGGTCAAATGTACTCATAATTGACGGGTCATATCCCGGAGTTGCGAGTACAAAACAGCTGGACGTTCATTACAGTCTCTGCAAGACACCTACATCAAGAACGGTAGAAGCCATGCATTTACTGAAAACAATACACAACTCCAGAGCTCTGGGCAGTATACAAGCCCCTGAACCGAGAAACAGTATTTCCTCTGGACTGCACGTACCACCTGCTGCTGTAGAAGCCGCATGCATCCAGATGTATGATGATACGTGCAGTGTGTGTCCTGGAAAAAACCGTGGATGGATATACACCGTGGAGATTACAATGCACACAGACTCGCATTGGATGCACCGAAGCTGTCGGCCCATCAGCTCAAAAGAACCAAGTTGAGAAAATTGTGGTCATCCCAACATGATTTAGTTGTTTTCTCGCCTGCATTAATGTTTGTGTTGTACTGGGTTTCCGCGTTGTTTACAATTTTGGATTTCCCGTAGGGCCGCATATAACGGGATATTTTTTTTGACTGGGACCCATAAAAATGGGGGAAAGGGGGAGATTGAAACAAAAATTAAATGGCACTAATTACGCTTAAACAGAAAGTACTGACTTGCTAGCCACGTCTCCGCACTCGGCAGAATTGTCACACGCCAGGCAGTCCCAGTTTTTTTGTTGTTCCTCTGAAGTTACTTCAACTGCAGCATTCGATTGTGGGTTCCATCCATTAATGTCTCGTGATTTTCGGTGGCATCAATGTTTTTTTTGTTTCCATTTATTTTAGACTGTATTGTTTGTACATACGTTTTTATTGTGTACACGCAATATAACATCAGAGCTGCGTTGATGTAAAAGTTACCCTTTTAAAAAAATGTCAAATTAACATTACACATTGTAAAAATTGGATCGATTGGGCCTGCATTAAAATAACGGGATTAAAAAAAAACGGATATATGGGGGACAGTCATCCCCGATTAGAATGGTATTTCGAAGACGCACCATATACAGACCACTCCGCGTTATCTTACTGTCCACAACTGTTACACTCCAGGGCCTACGGCTACAGCGATGCAATATAAACAATGCACACGTCAAATCCCAACTCGCGTTCGCGGTGTCTTAATGATCGCCTGTAACGTTGTAGTGTGTGGTACACTCGTCAGTAATAACCCCCCCCCCCCCCCTGGCAAAGACACAACAGAGACCCTATTGCTCATTGAGGTGCAGTCATTTTTGCTCAGCGTACAGTGCATGTGGCTTCATAATGGCAGCTGTTGCTTCAAACGCGTGCGATGAATTATTAAGGAGCGAATCAATTGGGGGTGGATTTTTTTGCACGACAAGTACCCGGCCGTGTGACGCACAACTCCGTGACACCGACGGGCATGCACGGTCACAGAGCTGGGCCGCAAGTAGGGGGCCCTCTTTTTTGTACAAGGTGATTCATTTATAGATACCCCACTGATTTCTAACGACCCTGGATCTTTCTTCTCAACAGGTAGTAGAATACGGAACTGTGAAAGCCGACGGCTCTCATATCTTCTGACAGAGCAGAGTGTCACACGATTTACCGAGATTGGTGGAAGAAGTGTAGAGAATTACAAATAACGTAGCTTGTTTTTGTCTGATTCTTAATAATTCCCTATTACTTCGTGGGGTATTTATAAATAGTTAACCGTGTATCTACCGAGCCTGGAGACAGGGCCCAGAGACAGCGTTTAAAGATTCATAATTTCGTGTCGCTTGGACATTCTGGTGTTGACGAGTAACAGTGGAGTGTATTGAAGGGCTCTTCCATTCCGAACAGGCCTGGGAATCTCAATAACCAGTCTATGAGTTGCCACCGTCTGAGGTACAAAACAACTGCTTTGTACCTCAGAAGAGGGCAGAACTACAAGTAAATGCATTGCCTTGCGTTGTGTATCATTACCCAATTGACAAGAACCAGAAATGTTAACGTTCTGGGAAGACTTAAATATTTCATAGGACAGTAGCCTCACACAGAGGACAATCGTAGGGATGCCAGGACATGTGCCAACACTTGGCCCGAACCCCTCATTCAGCACAGACCTCCCTCTCACTCCCACCTGACCTGCAGCTTCCACGTGTAAAACAATCTCTATATCTCACTGCTAGAGGGTGCTTAGGGTTGACAGGTTCTGGCCTAGAGAGCAATCTCAAAGCTGTACGTGGGGGCGGCAGCAGTGGCGGCCTGGTCCTGCTCCACAGCCAGCGGTAGATCCGTGTAGGAGTCGGCCATATTGTAGGTTGGCATGGACATGAACTCGTGGATGGAGGCGCTGAGGTCGGGGCTTTGGAATCCCTCGAAGAGCGAGCTACGGAACGCTCTTACTACGTGGATCTGCAAGGCAACGAGAGAGGAAATAGTTTGCGATGGGAGTAAAAAAAACAACCGCCACAAATGTGTGCCATATGGCGCAGTGCAACTTTAGAGCATTATAACTCTCCAATGTATTCTAGTTTTTTTTGTAGCTGTACAACACAACGGCGAAAAGCTCGTTGTAGTGTCCATGGGAAAATTTACAGATGTTTTTTTTTTATAATCCTGGGTAATCGTTAGGTAAGCCAACTGGCTGAGGAGTTATTTTGTATCATCATTCTGCACAGAATGTTATTCTACAGTTTTTATATATTAGGATATACATATTCTAGTTGTTTTTAAACACTTTATTTCACTGTAAATAATAATGTACATTGACCGACCAATTTCCAAACAGGCAACAACTTTACTGGAGACAAGAGTTGTCCTCTCATCAGTCTGTGCCTTGTTTGTGTTGGGACCGATTTGGGAAGTTTAGAGATATGTATGAGTAATGATGGTAATGATAAGGAAAATGGTGAAAATGGTCACATGAAAGACTGACAATTCCATGACAAATTAAAACAAACGTTTCAACAACCATACACACATAACCGTACACACATAAACAGCATAATAATACATCACGGCAATTCAAATTAAACAGCCAAAGGCAAATGAAGATCAAGTTACGAGCATCGACAATAACGCAGTCTGCATACCAGTATAAAATAAATAGTAAAACAATGAAGAATAATCATGCGCATGTGTGGATTCTGTAACAATTTCCAACATGCGTTTGTCTTCAGAAATATTTAATTATCGATATGCCAAATGGGGAGAGCTGTCAGGGCAACACTAATTTATAAAATTGCAAATATGTAGTTCTGTTTGCTCTGGTTTGTCTGCATGCTTTTGGCAATCTCCCTTTGGCCAATCAATGTGTTCGGTATTCAATAGGGCAAGTGCCCAATAGCGACACAATTTAATACGAGCGGTTCGATCATATTGGATCATTATTTGCAAGTGTTATAGTGCCAGCCGCGTGACGGGCGGACGGAGATAATGCTTTGACGCTTTCGAATGTAGTGGTAGAGGGTTAAACATGAAATGCTTGACATTTAAAATATATATAATTGCAAAAAAGCCGCCCATACGCACGCAGGCACGGTGGGTAAGAGGTGGTCAGTATGTGGGAAATGGCATGTGACATATTCGTGAGAATAAATGGCACATGCAAAACCACTCCCAAGCATATCCTTGTGGAAAAAAAATAAACGCGGAGTGTTGATTGCAGCAGCACTCTCTAACTCAGTAGCGTGAATCCAACACCCAGACAAGAAATTGTTTACCATAACACACACATGTACACACCGAACCGAAATAAAGGACATTTATAAAATTATAGTTTAGTCACATTAGGTGGCAACTCCCGTGGTCAAAATTGCAAATTGAGCAGAACGAGCTCCGGGCATTGCCTTCGTTGACCGCATTGTAAGGCTGGCATGAGTCACCGTGCCATGTGGTGGCACATGGCCATTATTCAGAAAATTGTCGGCAAGGGTTGATGTATGACATAGAGGTTTGTGAAAATCCCAAACCCTCCAGGCTACGTGGTGGCCAGGACCTATTAGTACAAGAAATGGTTGCTCAAAGCCACCTGTGCAGAGCGTTGAGTGTTACTGCCTCTTATGCAAGCGCTGTCTCCGCGTTTCCAAATTAACTCTATACGAGTGGCTCTGAGAGCTAATCTGTGTCAGCGTTATCCCCTCGTGCGTGCCTTTTCTCTGGGTACACCAGTTTTCTCCCACATGCAAAACAATCACTAAGTACGGCAGAACTGTCCAAACATCCCAATGCAGCAACCCTCCTGGGACACTGTGTCTTGAAACTCAGTGAGGCTTCGATGGATTAAGAAAATTACATTATTGTTTTTTGTAAATACTAATTTAATCAAATAAATGTAAAATAAAGTTTACCCGATCATAGAAATGTAATTACATATTCCATGGAGCAGTATATCATTGTCGCATTTGTTTAGACTTTGGAAATGTTGGCCAGTTTTTCTGCTGGACATCTGTGAAAAAGAGCTTGATAGCTCATAAGATTCCTCCAATATAAATATAAATATTCAGATTCTGACTTCAGTGTGATTTGACAGCAGTTGGTGGCCTGCTAAACAAATTCAACTATGTGGCCAAACACACTGCTTGTTTAGAACTGATTACCCATAACTTGCCAAGGCAGCAAACTCACGTGGCATGTTTTTTAATCAGCAAATTTTTCGTGAATTTGGTTGTACGGTGCTTTTTGATGGTTAGTGACAGATGGTTTTACAAACAGATGATAAATTGAGTTGCAATGATTGTTTAAGGGCATGTCTGTTACTAAACAGCTATTATTTGTGCAACTATTCATATGCCAATTTAAAAACTGGTCATCAGGAAACGGTTTAAAAATGTTATTCTCATAAGGCCTCAAATTGTAGACAAGAGTAGTCTCCAACTCTTATCCACTCTATCTGGCCTCTCTATTTATGTGCCATTAAGAAGGGTCATTGACTGAAATGTTGCCTATTTAATATATATATATCGGTTTAAGGGTGCACAGTATTATTCACGAATGTGTCGAGTTTATTGCAATGTCAGGGGAGTCTGGGTCGCTAGACAAGTTAGGCAACATAGAATTTGCTGCCGTTCATAAGTGGTACAAATTTACCCGAATGGTGATTCAAATTTGATTCAAGAAGCAATTCTTTTATTTTTAAACAATGCAGTGAATGCAGCGGCCGTTAGTGGCTGCAGGAGTAATGTTAAGACCAATTGCACGTGACGTACCAATCGAAAAACGACAGTTTTTCCATGTGTGACTAACTTTATATCGTCTCCTTAATAATCAATATTAATCGATGACACGTATCATTACACCTCTATGGTAATTACTAATGAAAAAATTGCCTACCAGGCACGAAGAGTTCCACAACCAACACACAGGGGGTGTTCATAAAGGTATCATCTATTATTAGAAATGTATAATTCCTTTCGTTTGAACTTAGGTTGACGAAACTAAACACAAGCACAATTGGTACTGTTAGAGATGTAATCGTATGAGTTCCATCCTTAAAACGCTCTCAATATCGGCCGCGCCGTGGATGACAGGCATCATAATGGGATTTCAACATCTCCACTGTGAGTGTTTAGAATGCTTCCGTTGTGCGCTGTGGAATAGATATATCCTATGCTGCCACCATTTCAACCACGCAAGGTCAAATCCGCTGTCTGGTTCTAACATTCTTTAGTAACTTGACGATACCTTTACAGACGGCCACACGTTTTACGACGTGGATTACCATTGCCGCGGACAAAGGCACGTCACGTTACCGCGATTAAAATCACTCCGGCTTTTTATAGTTCTGTGAATGCGCCGTCACACCACGCAAAACCAAATGCATGAACAAGAACACTTGACGCGCCGCGGTAGGGGAGGGGGGGTTAGAGGCATTTAGTTTGGGACAAACCACTGCATTGGTGAAACAGGGGGATGGGAAGGGAGGGAGAGAAGAGAAATGAAGAAAGAAAATGGGGGGAGGGGATTGAGAAACATGCGGGAGAGAGAAAGCAACGGGGTTAGGAAGACAGAAGACTGACATGGAGCAAGATGCAATAACATCCCATATATCCAGCAATTCCCTTGTCTCTGGGAAATGACCTCATAAAAGAATGAATGGCATCTTCACTCTGTGTTTTTCCATGAGAATTGCCCGACTGGCGGTTGGCGTCGTTGCAAACCCAAAGCCGGAGGCTGCATTCTTCCAGGGGCCATTAAGCTTCAGATCATGAATCAATTGGCGCGTAACCGACGGATGTGGGGCCCGTCAATAAGGAGGGCTCAGCAAGGGGTCAAGATGTCTTGTAGAACCTGCCCTGTGTACATTGAATGGATTGCTTTTGCGAGAATGTGCAATTTTTTTAAATAGTTGGTGCTGGGTTAGGGGATGTTTGGCTTCATTTGGGTAAATTATATTTTCCGGGAAATAAAAGGGAGACACAACACAGAAACGGCAGTGTTTGCGATACGCTTGTGAGTGTCGTGTCCAGAGTAGAGCCAGGGAGAGGATCGGATGCCCAAACCACAGGGCCTTGTCCTTCTCCATCAGCAATTGCACCGTCAGTTAATGCCACAAAACTGACAATTTCTGAAGTTCTATTACGTCTCCCCTTGAAAATATTCCACCAGGGGCTGACGTGGCGGAGAGCCTGACGCAGGTCGTGACTTCATATCCCAATTGGAAGTCAACTCAGTCCATCATGTCTCCAGGGAAGATAAAATAAGCACCACCGACAGCAGTTTCCCAAAGCTGAGATAACACTCCCATTATAGGAATGTTTCAATTTCCACCACTGTCTTAGGACCGCCTTTGTATATGAGCAGAGGTGAGTCACTTTGATTTAGACTTCTAACGGTATGAAGAAAAATCAGACCATCTTTAACCGCTGCTCTATACCCCCTCCTCCTCCCCCATTGAATGAACGTCTGGACACGACACCGTGACACCGCGCGGAGCGAGAGAGAGAAGGTGCCGAGAGGTCGAGAAAGAAGGAAGAGTTCGAGGACTCACGGCCGTGCGCGAGGACAGCGTGAGAGCGGGGGTTAGTGTGGCCTGCCCCGCGAGGGTGAGAACAGGCTATGGTGGCCTGGCGTCTCAGGGAGCCCTGATAGAGGGAGCCGCCCTGGAAGGCGCTCATCACCCCCATCTGCAAACACACGCAGCAGCCGCTCAGACGAGGCAATGGTTGGCCACAGGTGGCCCGAGAGGAGAGGGGGGGTCAAAAAGTCGGGTGGGTTCACACACACACACACGAGGCAATTTCATTAAGAAACGGGAAGGATAGTAAAGCGATAGGGAGAAGGAGGAACGCTCAACTAAAACAACCGCAGAGCACGCAATGGTTACGGACGGTAAATACTTTGACAGCAAATACTCGGACGGTAAATACTAGGCACCATAGCACGTTTTTGAAACGGCCGTAAACCTTGTTATTAAATCACAGTTTCTGATAAAAAGGCTCAAAGGCCTAAAATGCCAAGCGGGTCAGCAACGGACAAACAGTGCTGCTGAAGTCGTAATCGCTAATCAGAGTGAGCGTTTCTTTAATTTAGCAAGGTAATTATACGAGCTTGGGGAAATAGAGACGATGGTAGGGTTGCTACGACGCTCGAACGCTCGGCTTGGTTTTTTTTTACAACCTTTACTTATGCGCGGTACAGCACGGCCGGTAAACGGCGGGCTCCCTCTTCACAACATTACGACATTCATAATTGTTGGCTGTGGAGGAAATGTGCCCGGCAATTGAGGGGAGCGGCAAACGGGCGAGTGAGAGTGGAGTTGGAAAGCGCGAAACAAACGGCTCCAGGAACACGCAGCCAAAAATTAGGAACCGAAATTTTGTCTTGGCGACGATCGTCTCTGGGCCGTCACTCGGGCCCGGGAGGGCCGAACGAGATAGGAGTTTTGTGTCCTCTGTGCTCCCAGTCGCTCACGAGTTGCTACAAGTGGTGGTCATGTTTACGACAATGCCACTCTAATTTTGCAAGATGTTATGGACTACCGGAATTGTACAAAATAACATTTTGAAAAAAAAATTGCTTTCATTAGCCCACACATGTGGACTATGTATGTATGATGAACTTCTTTTGCACCATACGTAGTCAACCGTGCTAATCCGATGTGCAGGGGAAGGACAACAAACAAACGTTACTGACAGCTCGATTGGTTTGAGCAAGCATCGGCCAGAACTTTGGATTGCATATTCTTCTCGAGCAGCCCTTATTCGATTATTGAATACAAACACGCACGTACGTATAAACTAATTAATTGGCTAAAAACACCTTGATATATAGAGGACATCAGAGCTTGGACAATTGCTGCCTTCCAACTCGGCTGTGGTTCCCCAGCGATTGTGAGATGCAATTTGCAAGAACGACGACGCTGCTATGTATACAACATAACGTTATTATTCGTAATTATCATCACGCAGATCAGAAGACACGAGCAATTTATCGAGTATAAGAAATAACACGCAGCCAAAGCAACGTTTTAAATGCATTCATCCTCGAAAAAACCCATTAACGTGCGAAGGATGGCTATTGATGGCGCTGCTTGACCATTAGGCCTTCTGAACAGCTCACAAGCTCTTCGCTCGTGCCATTAATTTTTGCCGGCCCCCCCAGGTCAACCATACGTCCCGTCTCACCGAGACAACTCGGGCCGAGCGTTGCCACCTCCGAGGTACAAAAAGCCGGGGTGCATCGTGGGAAGACGAATACCGCAATAACGCCGCAGGAAGATAGAACCGCACGTCAGGCGGTTCATTATCACGCAACTGACCAAAAACTGCGACTTTTAACGTCCCGGGAAGACTTACAGGTTTGCCAGGATGGCATCTTGCCTCAACAAGAGAACGGTTCCTGGGAAAACGCATTGGGATCCTAGGATGGAATGCGGATTATAAATTTGAATTATTATTGAATCATTATAAAACCAGGACAGGTGGAAACCCTAGCACTGATCCGTTCCAGCCACGCCATCACAAAGGCCCGACGTCTATTCCGCCGGCGGACGGCGGAAACTCGAGCACCGGGGAGGGGGCGGGCGGTTACGTCGGCGACGCCGTATCGGCGAGGCCGCGAGCGACGCACGCACCTGTGTCTTGATGCGGTTCGTGCTGCGGAACCACAGGATCTGGCCACGCCTCAGCTCCTGCTCGGCCTGGTCCATCTCCTCCTGCTCCTGCTCACGCGTCGGCCCGGCCCAGCCCGGCTCGTCCGGCTCGTCGCCCGTGGCCGCCCGCTTCAGCGACGGCAGCCGGCAGCTCGGGATGGTCGCGATGACCTGCGGGCGTTCGTACGTTTGTTACGTACGGCGCGGAAGTTGTACCCGGCAAGTGCCAATACACTAAGATACTGCTGTATCTTAGTTGGGGCGCCGCGGATGGCAAGATGTTAACTACCTCACCTGGTATGCCGGAGATCGTAGGTGCGATCCCGGCCCTGATGCCCGTATATTTGGAGTTTGCGTGTCTCTCTCTCTCTCCCCGTGGTCGCGTCGGTGTTTCTTCAGGTCCTCCGTTTTTTCTCTCCACAATTAGAATGAACGTGCATTTCGAGTATTTGGCTGCTATACATTTCCACATGTTAAGCCACTTCATTGATCTATCATTTGTGGCTAGGTTGCTATATAGCTCAGTGGGCCTTATCCTGGTAAAATAAAAAATAGTATAATTTTTCTTTTGTTTCAGCTGTCATATCTATTCCACGCCATTATGCTCTTGTCAATGTGCCGTGTTAAACAAATATCGTGATGTCATACCGTATTCTGATGTTGTACCGGTCCTGTGTCATCGTTTCATCATAGCTGTCCGTCTATATGCATGTTGAACTTCTTTTGCACCATACACAGCCAACCGTGCTAACCGTGCTCATCACGTGATGTCACGGCTGTCGGCGATGTTGCGCCTGTGATGTGACGCTAACCCTGTCGTGCGCCATCACAGGCGCCGCGTGCCGCGGGAGAGATCGCGTTCCGCCACAGCTGCCGCACGACGGCTACGACGGCGCACGGCCGTTATACCTGTCCCCACAGCAGCTCTCCGACTCCCAAGAAGATGCACCACAGCCACTGCTCCAGGCTGAGGCTGGCGCAGCTGAAGGGCTTCCCTCCGAACTGGATGATGAAGACCTTCGCCCGTTGAGGCCACACGGCACACACACATTGCAGGCGAGGGGTAAGAGGTGGTCACGCCAGGCAGAAGAAGCACAATCAGCAGAGAGGCTGCATACGCTCTGCTGCCCCCCCCCCCCCCCCCCATTGGCTGGAGCTCTCTCTGGGCACACAATAAAGTTAAACCTTCACTCTTTTCATCCACCGAATCTACCTGCTTTCAACAGTACCTACTTTCGAAGCAATAAGATTTTGTGGTTTATCAAGATTTTTTAAACATTGCCCCCAACAGGTGTGCACAAATGTTTACACTCCGCCAAACAATGTTTAACGATTTATTTGCATTTACCCGAGATAGTGTGTTGCAATAGAAACCGAAAAGCTCAATGGGCTCCCACCTGGTTACAAACGGAAACGCCTACCATGGCAAGGCTCTCGCGGTGGAAATAATAATATTAACCAGGGCCTAATATACCACTTGATATTTTCCAGGTTGCTAGAGGACTGAGTAGGTGGCACGTGACCAGTAGTCACCTCTATCGCGAGCGGTATACTGGATGCACGTATGTATGTTGAACTTCTTTCGCACCGTACGTAGCCAACCGGGAAAGGACAACAAACTTAAAACCAAAAGGAGGTTCTGAAGAAACGATTTTTCAATCTAGATTTAAAAGGAAGTGGGTTCCCGACGGCCGCAGACGTGCATCTGAATGCGCGCGATGCAGTGTGCCGGTGCGTGTACCGGATGCGGTGCGCGGTAATATTGTCGAAGTTGCTGGTGAACAACTGGAGTAGGTATCACGTGACTCATACTCACAGGCAAGGCAAAGCAAGAGGTGTGCTGCATGACGCGGGGTGCCGGGTGTGAACATTACCACTGTCCGGAAACAGGCTCTGGTGATAACAATGACCTGGAGCAAAGTCCCACAGCAACCTCGCACAGAGCCCGCTCACCCCGCCCGCCACTCACCTGCACGACGAAGGTACCCACGATGATAATGCAGAAGATGGGGTTGCGGAAGATGCCATCGAAGACGTTGCGCTCCCCGTGGATCTTGCGCGCGTTGATCTCGTTGAAGAGCTGCATCATGACGAAGGTGTTGAACACCACGGTGTAGTGCTCCGAGGGCGGCGCGTGCAGCGGAGCGTGCCGTCCACTGTCCACGTCCAGCACCATCTCGCCTGCGCGCGTGCAAGCGCCATCGTCACCACCGTCGTTACCATCGCCAATGTCACCACCGTTGTCATCATCGCGACAACCGTCATCGCCACCGTTACTATCATCGCAACTGACGTCATCGCCACCGTTACCGTCATCGCGACAACCGTCACCGCCACCGTCACCGCCGTCGCCAACATCGGCACCATTGTCATCACCACCATCACCACCACCACAATCTGTTTCCATCTGTGTTGCCCCCCCTCGTGTGCTTGGATTTTCTCCGGGTGCTCCGATTTCCTCCTACACGTATAGCAATTATAAACACTCATCGCTAATTGGGTGAATTTTTTTTTTTATTTGAACAAAACAAAACGAATGTAGCAGGAGCAGCACCCTCCTGAGAAAGAGCCCTGTGACCCGAGGTGTGGCGCTCCTGGAAAAATACAGGGTGCTTCAAAAACATGTTAACACTTACATGGCACTATCGTTTTTAATGTAAAAAGAATGGATAATACAATGTAACATGATAACGAATGTAATGTTAATCGCTTCAACGCGTGCCTGGAATCTTCTCCAGGTGGTCTCCAGTGCCTGGGGGCAGCGCATTTCTCGTGGTATTGTTGCAAATTCTCAAAAGTGTTAAAAAAAATTTAGAAGCACCCTGTATAATGAGAGTAAAAAAAATCAATGAATTCCACGGGCGTAGTTTCAGAGGCCACGCTGCTGACAGCAGTAAAAGACTTCACGGCCGTCGGGCGCTGACAAATAGCAGCTGCCACGCGAATCGTGAATGGTGGCGACACTCAAATGTCCTCCGGCGTCCGTCTCGAAGCAGCAGCAGCAGTGGCGAGATGTTAACGACCTCGCCTGGTCTACAGGAGGTCGTGTGTGCGATCCCGACCCTGACGCCTGCTGTACATTTGGAGTTTGCATGTTCGTTGAGCTTCTGAAAAAGAGCTATATAGCTCAGTGGGCCTTACCTGGTGAAATAAAATATAAATAAAAGAGAGAGTGAGGATGCGTGAGTGCATGAATCATAAGCACTGTCATGGGGATGGAGGGGGGGGGGTAGCTAAGGCCCCCTCCCACAACTTGGCAGTTAAATTTATCCCTCTCACTGAAAATACACAGGGGACAATTTGCCCTGAGGCTAATGGTCGTGAATGGACGTGTTCATGCTGAAATAAAAGCGATGGATAACGATCATTTACAGTCTTTTGTCAATCTGCTGTTCACTGAAGGCTGCGATGCCTCGGTCGGTGTGGCGAGCTGTTTGCTCCTTCTTCACCACGCCTTGGTGGAGCTGGTTTAGATGTTTGCTCTGACGGGTGATGTGTGGGGGGGAGGGAGCAGTTTGTCTGCGATGATTGATCGCCGCCGCTTGAGCTCTCTCTCGAGCACGAGCAAGACGAGCGATACGGACGGACACGCGGCCCCGCCAAAGAGATCCGCTCTCTCTGCCGATCCCCCCCACATCCCTCACGCTTTCTGCCTCCCTCCCCCCAGAAAATAAGTCGTTCATCCCCCCCACCACCACATTTTACAAGTGTCAACGCAGACGCTACCAACAGACGTGAAAATTAGCTCCGGTGTTAATTTAGTCAGCATCAAAGCCATTTTAGTCAAATCTTACTTTTAGTCAAATCTTACTTTTAGTCTGTGGATTTCACATCTTCGTTAATTTAAATGCAGGGTGCTTCAAAAACATGTTAACACTTCTGAGAATTTGCAGCAATACCACCTGGAGAAGATTCCAGGCACGTGTTGACAATGATGGCGAACAAGTGGAGACTCTTTTACTTTTTGAAGCCATTAACATACATTTGTTATCATGTTATAGTGTATTATACATTATTATTTCATGAAAAACGATCGTCCAAAAAAGTGTTAACATTTTTTTTTATGTACCCTGTAATGCCTCCAGTGTTAAATTAGCCAGCATTTGATGACTAAATCAAATTCCAGAGACTGAAGTTCCACTGGTTGCCGACAATCAGACTTAAGACTCAAAACTCTCAGATGCTGACCGACTGAACGGTGCGCGGAGCTAATTTTCGCGTCAAGTTTCTAACGGTCGGCAGAACCAGCGGTGTACAAGCTGGGAAGTCTGCAAAACAAAATAATAATAAATAAAAATTAACAGGAATTAATTTCGCAAATGGGCAAAGGTTCGTGTTTGTGTCGTGCGTGGAGAGCACCAGCAAGGTGGGTTCCACTCCATCAGCCGAGCCCAGGAGATGACCCGCGCGTGTTTTTAAAATTAAACTCTGCCGACCGGGTTACCGACGTTCCCACGCCCGGACGAGGAATCACCAGCGAAGAGCAGCGTGAAGATGACGGTGAGCTGGTAGACGGCGTGGCCCAGGATGTTCTTGGTCATGGTGCGCGACACGAGCGGCTTGTTGCGCCCGTACGGCCGGCGCAGCAGCAGCGCCTCGGTGGGCGGCTCCGTGGCGAGCGCCAGCGACGCCAGCGTGTCCATGATAAGGTTCACCCACAGCATCTGCACGGCCTTGAGCGGGGAGTCCTACGCACGCACGGGCGCAACGGCAGCGTCACTCGCTGGCCCGCCACGCGGACGCGGCCACAAGCTGCTCGTTATCCGAGTGTCGGCCCCGGGGTTAGGCCCCTCGTGGGGAAAGTTGTTCTCTCAAGCGCTTGCCACGCAACCGCTGCAGGCATCCTCAACCCACGAAGATGCCCGCGGTAGTTGTGGGTGGCGACAAAAGGGCTTTCCCATGTCTCTCTCCTTGTCGCCATGCCCGTCTCTGGGTCCTCTTCTCCGACACACTGCTGTGGGCATCTGCAATTTTTGAAGACGCCTACAGTGCTGTGTGTCGTTAGCTCGGGAGAAGAAATGCTCAACACGCGGCTTAGCCCAGACGACCACAATCTACATGCGGCACTGTGCGTACGGAGCTGGGGATGCGGGAGAGGGGATCTAGAGATGGATGTGAAGAGCGACGTGGGAGAGGCACCGAGAGACGTGGAGCAGGACAGAGAGGGACAGTCATAAAGATGCACGGAGAGAGACATCGGAATACACGGCGAGTGAAGTGTCCATTGAAAGTCGAAGCGACACGAATACAAATACGGACACAAAGAGTGAGACGCAGAGTCAGGCGTGCGCTGAGAGATACGTGGATGCTTACAGACACGCAGAGAGACACGGGAGAGAGACAGAGAGACACACGGAGACAAACCGGGAAGGAGAGAGAGGGACTCTCGCTGCTGCGGTACCTGCGTGATGCAGGCCCCCGTGAAGGCGACGATGACGGCCACCACGTTGACCGTGAGCTGGAACTGCAGGAACTTGGAGATGCTGTCGTAGACGTTGCGCCCCCACATCACCGCCTTCACGATGGAGCTGAAGTTGTCGTCCGTCAGGATGATGTCCGACGCCTCCTTGGCGACGTCGGTGCCCGCGATGCCCTGGTGGGCACAAACGGGGGAGCGTCAACCCCCCCCCCCCAAGTTTGTTTCTGCGTTCGGTGTTCGCTATCACGCGCAGGCTATCACAATTGCGCTATGCCTGACAGATTGCGTGTAGTGTGTGGCATTTACCCACTTAAGTAAGTGTGTATGCACGTTCAACTTCTTTCACACCGTACGTAGCCAACCGTGCTAATCGGAGGTGTGAGGACAACAAACTGAATTCTAAAAGCAGTTCGAAAGTTTTCAATCTAGATTGAAAAGTGCATTGCTCCAGTGGCTACCTAATATTGGAAGGAGGAGCGTTCCAGACGGCCGCAGAGTAATTTGAAGGTTAAGTTAAACGTTGCAGGTCTGAAAAATGTGAAACCGCGTGCGGCCATCTCTCTTTATTTTCGAATGATGTCACAGGATCCATAACGTCCTCTGGGAAGCAACGTACCCTGCACGCGCGTGTGTTCGGGTGACACCCCGGCAGTGAATACAACCCCGCTGGGGGTGAAACAGGCGGCAAAACACGCTACCACCCGGCTATCTTGCCACGGAAGCGAGATGTTAACTCCCGACCCTGACGCCTGCTGTATATGTGGAGTTTGCGTGTCTCCCTCCTTGTGGTCGCGTGGATTTTTGTCCGGATCCTCCGATTTTCCCCTAAACGTTTAGAATCAACATCACGCGTTTAGAGTCCCATAAGGTCTCAGAGTCCGCGGACCCGCTCATACGCAACCGATCCCGATTTGCACTTTGTGCGACTCGGTACTTTCGCTGCACGTACAGGGCGGGAAGCGAGGAGTCAAATCTCCCCCCTCGCCATCATGAGCACGTGGGTTAATCATATCGTGTTAATAATCATATCGTGCTCATAATATATAGTGTAAATAATATATCGTGTTAATAATATAGTGTTCATAATATAGTGTCAATAATATATCGTGTTCTATCTGACCTGGATGCTACCGATGATTAGTGAATCATTTACTGTACAATGCTGTACTTTCTTAAACATGCATGTACATTTAGATACATTTTATAAACACTCTTACAATGTATATTTACACTCGTAGAGATTAACCCTCCCAGCTCACGCGGCTGTACACAGAACCTAACCCCCGCGTACTCTGAGCCTTTGCTGTGTTTGGCTGCTATGAATGTCCACGTGACGAGCCACATTGCTGGGCTGTCATTTGTGGCCAGGTCGCTTCTGAAAAAGAGCCGCGCAGTTCAGCGGGGCCTTCCCCGGTAACAAAACAATCACGATAATCTCACCCGCCACGCCTCATAGGGCAGCCTATGAGTCAGCGGGCAGCGTGGGGCAGGGTATGGGGTGAGCAGGGCAGCACTTGGCCATAGCAGGGCAGGGCGAGGGCAGTGATACCATAATATTTATACCCCAGTCCAAGAGAACATGAATAACCAAGTCTGCATAAAACAATGTCTGGAGCAACTGGTAACAGGACAGCTGGCAGAACGAAGGGCAAACTGAGTCAGCTGTGTGTGTATATACAGTGTATATATACAGTGTATATACACACGTACAACTGGTTTATTTTGAGTCCCGTATGTGCTGCTTCTGTAGCTCCCGATGCCTTGTCTACAAATGTTTTCGTACACGTGTAGAATTTCTGAACAGTTTTCGGGCCCTCGCCAATCTACGCCGCAACGGCTACGGGGGTTGTTTGACCGTACTTCACCGCACCCCGCACGCCAGTGTGGGTTTGCAAAGGAGGGAGCGGGGGTGGGGGTAACCCAGGACCGGTCCAGACATCACTCGCCCTCCTGCCCACCCCCCTACGTTCGCTGGAGCGGGGAATCGAACCAAGGTCGTTGGGGTCACGGTGCGGTGCATGAACTGCCGTGCCACAGATCCTCCCGTGCCACAGATCCTCCCGTGCCACAGATCCTCCCGTGCCACAGATCCTCCCGTGCCACAGATCCTCCCGTGCCACAGATCCTCCCGTGCCACAGATCCTCCCGTGCCACAGATCCTCCCGTGTGAGCGTGTGGGTAGCGTCGCGGTCAGCGTCGCGGTCAGCGCGATGAACCCGATGACCCGGGTTCGATTCTCCGCTCACGGCCAACACCGGTGACGATTATCTGAACCGGTCCTGGGCCTCCTCTAGGTCGACTCAGCCTCACATTCGCTGTAACGTTATTTAAAAACAGGAGGGTCTCTCTACAAATCTGTCTGTCGCCTGATGATGTCGGCTGTAATTACTGGCGAAACGTCGTACTCGAATTGTAAATGTTGTGGGTTTGCTCTCCAACACACCGGTGCGCTGTACTAGTAGCGAATTGGCACGTTCTGTTTACGTGACAACCCTTACTAGTTGGCTGTATCGGGTGGTGGCGGGTTTAACGACACATTTATATTCACGCGATCTAACCCCAAAAATATTGGTCGCGAAACCGGACGTTGTTGAAGCAAAGAAATCCTCGCCGCGTTCACGGGACTTGTTCGGGAAGGACCTGCTCCATTGGGATGCGTGGCCAATTCCATTTTCAGGAGCGTCTTCCCCGTGGGTGTTTAGCATGGAAGAGTAGGCCAAGTATCCTCTGGAGGGGGCTGTCTCTTTCACTTGTCAGCAGTGGCGCGAGAGTAATTTCAGGGCTCTACCGTTACCCGTACATGTGGGAGGAGGTCGGATGGCTTAATCCTCAATTGTCCACGAAGGCACAGGTCCAGCAACCCACTTTTTGTTTTTCCATCACTTGGCCACCTCGCAGCCCAGCGGTGCTCGGAAATAACCACCGTATAATCCGTGACGGCTTCATTAGAACACTCTCTACAATCCACTTTTGATAGTTTGTGCATCCTCTCCCCATAGGTGGCTGCAGTATGAACTTAAGAGATGATTATTTTCATCCACTTAATCCGCCTACTCTCAACCAAAGCCGACTTTCTGCTTAATGAGATGTTGGCGGCTTACGGGCGGTGTCCAAGATAGATTATGTGCGAAGCCCTCTAACCTGCCAGCCTGCGAGATGGCCAGGATATGACAGCACAACAAGCGGGTTCCGTGAACCCGTCCCTGCCAAAGACTCTGAAACCCTTCGCTCATAGCCCACCATGGCGAATCCAACGTCGGCCTTCTTGAGGGCCGGCCCGTCGTTCGTCCCGTCCCCCGTCACGGCCACCACCTGCCGCTGCACCCCGAAGTTGCTGTCGATGATCCCTGCGGGGAGCCGGGGGGCGGCAGGGAAAGAATTGACGGGGGGGGGGGGGGGGAGGCGATACGAGGGTTGGGCGTTGAGAGACAAGCGGGCGCAGCGTGGCACGGCACACTGGCTGGGGGTGGGGGGGGGGTAGCTGAGAGTGGCGAGAGACGCGAGAAATGCTCGCCGAGTTGATAATTGGATGCTTGGAACGCTACCATCGTAGGCGGCGAGAGAGTGGAGGAATACCTCGCGTGTGCCGTACACTGACTCCACGTGCGCGTGTGTGCGGGGTGTGCGCTGTGATGCTATGTGCGGTGTGGGGTCTGCTATGCGGTGTGGGGTGCTGTGTGTGGTGTGCAGTGTGCGGTGTGTGATGTGGTGTCTGGTGTGTGGTGTGCGGTGTATGATGTGGGGTATGGTGTGTGGTGTGCGGTGTGTGATGTGGGGTATAGTGTGTGATGTGCGGTGTGTGATGTGGGGTCTGGTGTGTGGTGTGCGGGGTGTGATGTGGGGTATGGTGTGTGGTATGCGGTGTGTGATGTGCGAATTGCAGTGTGCAGTGTGTGATGTGGTGTCTGGTGTGTGGTGTGTGGTGTGCGGTGTGTGATGTGGGGTATGGTGTGTGGTGTGCGGTGTGTGATGTGGGGTATGGTGTGTGATGTGCGGTGTGTGATGTGGGGTCTGGTGTGTGGTGTGCAGTGTGTGATGTGGGGTATGATGTGTGGTGTGCGGTGTGTGATGTGGGGTATGGTGTGTGATGTGCGGTGTGTGATGTGGGGTCTGGTGTGTGGTGTGCAGTGTGTGATGTGGGGTATGGTGTGTGGTGTGCAGTGTGTGATGTGGGGTCTGGTGTGCGGTGTGGGGCGTGCGGGGTGCGATGCTGTACCCTTGACGAGCGTGTGTTTGTCCGTGGGCGAGGAGCGCGCCAGCACGCGCAGGTTGGGCCACACGCGGTCCAGACGCTCCTGCTCGATCTGGGGAGTGAGTGAACGGGCGGCACGGAGGTCAAGGTTCAACCACTGCCGTACGCCACTTTGGCTTTTTGGCATCTCACAGCCAGGGGTCGGGAATTCTTAACACGGTGGAGGCTTTTTGTGACCACAAATTACGATTCATAAACTTATTTTTTTATCAGATCGCTGTGTAGGTAAAGTTGTCACTTGCCTCAAACGTGCCAATGTATCGCTGCTCCAGAAATCTGATTTCTGGCAACTGTCTGATGACGCTGCCCGTAACGACCAACGCAATGTCGTTTAAAATTGTTAAAAGTCGTGAATTTCTCTCCAACAACAACAACGACGACATACCGGTGGTGCGCTGCTAAAGCAGGACTACAGTGGCACGTTGTGTTCATGTGACGACGTTGTTAATCGGCTGTTTTGGGTGCAGGAGTGGTGGGGTAACGACAGCGCATTGGTTTGCTACAGCCTCTGACGTCAATCCATACGGCCCGCGACCACGAGGACTGCCACCTGTCCAGATGATCCGTGGGTCATCCTGTTCTTGAGGTGGCTACCTGGGTTCGATCCCGACCTGATGCCTGCATATTTGGAGTTTGCGTGTCTCTCTCTCTGTGCTCACGTGGATTTTGCTCCGGATCATCCGGTTTTTCCTTCCACATTGAGAAACACGCTTTGAGAGTATTTGGCTGCTATAAATGTCCACACAATAAGTTACTTCTTTGGGCTGTAAATTTGTGGTCAGGTTGCTTCTGAAAAACAGCTAACCTGGTAAAATAAAATAAATAGTTTCTAGTTTAAATACTTTCCTAGTCCCGTTTTATTTTATCAGCTGTGTAATAACTCACCAATTAAGACAACGCATTTACTTGCGGTGCTCCCCCCTGAGATATTCTTATAACGACCCTACGTCCCGATTGTTTGTACCTCAGGTGGAAACCCGAGCGGCCCACCACTTGTTTAGGGCCCGCGAATCACGTTCATCCATCACTGCACTAATCGACCTGCCAGCAACACCACGTTTGCAATTCGAGCACGTGCAGTCACGAGTGTCACTGCAGTGTCCTCTTGCAGTGACGCACGTGATCGAGGTGTGCGCGTCCACGTGTGGCTGCCCGACAAAGACAATTTTGAGTGCTAATTGGCCCTTAACAAGGCAAAGGCTCCTCGCCCTTGTCGTTAACCAAGAGTCAAACCAAAAGGCAAACAGACTCGAGACCTTCATATCTCCCTCTGCCTATGACTGGCTGCCTCTCTTCATACAAACAACTAAAACAACACCCACTTGTTCTGTGCAGCGCATTGAGATGCGGTGGCATGAAGACGCTGTTTCAATCCGCAATGCGCTGCACTGAATTTCTTGAATCTTCCTTCAAGAGCCTCCTCCGAAGCCTTATTTCAGTTAATCATCCGAGAATCCGTGGGTTAAGGTGGAGAGGCAGCACTGCAGGGAGATGATCTTTACCACTTGGAAATGCCTCATTTACTGCTTGCAAGGCTGCCAGTTCGCGCATGCACACGCTCGAGCACACGCTCATTACGAGAGAAACAAGCAGCCTTATCCGCCGACCATCAATCAACTCGGTGGGCCGCACGCACGCACGCACGCACACGCGCGCGCCCACGCAAGCCACGTGCACGCCGACACGCGGCCACACAAGTGCAGGCGCTCGTCAACGCCGAGGTCTCCGCTTCGCTGTTTGGGCTGCTGGGGTGAGCGCTGTTAATCCGGCGCCTTTCATAGAGCGGCACATTCTAGTTCATTATCCAGCAGAGCCATGCTGAGTGGCAGGGCTCGTTTGCAGAAGGGTCCTGCTGCTGCTGCTGCAACATTGGATTTTTATTCTAAGATGCTTTCAGGCCAATTAATTGTTTATTATCCAAGTGCACATGCTTAGGGCTCCAAAAAGTTCTCTGTGCCATTGTGCGTGCCTCTGTTTGTCTCCGTTCGTGTCTCCGCATCTCTCCCTCTCTGCCCGTCCGGCATTATTTCTGCGTCCATGTCCATCTCTCTCTCCGTCTCTGTTTCTGTGCTTTTGTGTCTCTCTCCGCATCACTCCCTGTCCATTGTTAGGGGCCTCTCTTCCCCTAAAACTGTGCAGCTCTCCACCTAGCAGGATCCCAGACGGCTTCATCCATGCAGCACGGGTTAATGGTTTATCTCACGGTGGTGAGGTGCTATTGTCATGGTCCCTGGTGCGAGGAATGAACGGGGATCCTCCTGTTTAAAGCCCCCCCCCCCCCCTCCTTTTAGAGGATTTGTGCCTGAGGCCCTTCAGCCAATTACAATGTGTCATTGTAGTTGCCCTATGCCCTCTGCTACTCTATAGGTTAACATGTCAGTCTCTGCGTCTCTATGGAAGTCTATCAATCTCCATGTAGGTCTATGGGTTTCTAAGCAGGTCTGTGTTGCTCTATGTGAATCTAGGGGTCTGTATATTAGTCTGTGGGGTCTCTATATAAATCTAGGGTCTCTATGTTAGTGGGATTGTGGTGCAGCACACAAACCGCTGAGTCACCACTGACTACAGGTGCACGTGTGCACGCTTAGACTCTCACGGAACATATTCTCTGGGGTGGTGGAGGTGGCAGCGTGGGGGGGGGGGGGTGTGGGGAGCTGCAAAATATTTTCCAGAGCTCAGCAGAGGACAGCTCCGGCTGCGGTGGAGCCTGGCGCGTGCGACGCTCGCACGCACCTCGCCGTGCTCGTTGCGGATTCGCCGGTTGAACTCCTTCCCCTCCATGCACAGGAAGTCTCCGCCCGCGGGCAGGATGCCGCAGGCCGTGGCGATGGCGCGTGCCGTGTTGATGTTGTCGCCCGTCACCATGCGCACCGTGATGCCCGCTCGCTGGCACCTACGGATCGCCTCCGGGACCTGCGGGGACGGGGGAGAAGGGATTTTGAAGTCGAGACAAAGCGCACGTTCTATTAATCCCCTCCACTGCCTCCCGGTATCAGTCTTAGATAAACTACAATAGAGCCCTCGCCATTGTCAAGATCCTCCACACACTCTCCTGCCTCTCCACTCTCATCTCACTCTACTCCCCTCCACGCCCTCTCCTACCTCTCCCCTCTCATCTTACTCTACTCCCCTCCACGCACTCTCCTACCTCTCCCCTATCATCTCTAACCCGTGGACTGCTGGACCGCGCACATTTAAGTAGAGGGCGACTCTACAAAGCAAGGGTCACTCACGCCAATGCCAGCGACCGTTCCCTGGAAGAACCCAACTTGCGTCTCCCAATTCACCCAAACACCCTTCGCAACGTAAGACCTGTGAACATGAGCGACGTATGTATGCACGTTGAACTTTTTCCGCACCGTACGTAGCCAACCACGCTAATCGGAGACGTGGACATGAGGCGGCCCCTCCTCGTCCCCCGACCCCCCCAGAGGGGGCCCTCACCTCGGGCCGCACGGGGTCCTGGATGCCGCAGATGGCGACGCACGTGAGGTCGGCGACCACGTCGCCCTCGCTCTCCCAGTCCGGCGCACCGCCCGGCGGGAAGTCGCGGTACGCCAGGCAGATGGTGCGCAGGCCGTCGTTGGCCATCGGCTCGATGACGCTGCCGTTCACGTCCTCCCGGTCGCGCGCCCCGAACGGGGCCACGGTGCCGTCGCCTCCCAGCATGCGCTTGCACCTGCGTTGAGGGTTGTTGTTTTTTTTCGCTCCGTTAAAGTTTAGGCTTCTCGCGACCGGTGAAACACAGTGGCGGTGGTGGTGGTGGTGGTGGTGGAGGCGGTGGTGGCGGTGGTGCCGGTGGAGGTGGTGGAGGCGGTGGAGGTGGTGGAGGTGGTGAAGGTGGTGGAAGCATTGGCAGCCCCGGGGGGGGAGGGGGGGGGGGTGATGCGATGGTATTCTCGAGAGTCGCTATATTCCTTCATTCCATCGTTCCTTCGTTTGTTTGTTGGGTGGTAATCGCTCGCTGCGTGGGCAGAGCTGCGGGCTTTTTGTTTATGCGCGAGACCATTTGTCACGCGCTTTGAAGACGTAATGACCCGCGAAAGCTCGTTAAGAAAAATATTAAACGATTACAACGGTGAACCATCTGCCAGGGAGGGGAATGCAATTTGTGCTTATAAACTTGATATTATTTATAGTGATTTGTTTAACTTTTTTCTATTTTACGCTCCCATTGTTTATCGTACTCTTTGTTGCTGTCACTTGCTGACCCGGGCCCCACTGGACATCTGTGAAAAAGAGCTTCACAGCTCATTGGATTCCTCCAGTCTAAATGATAATTCTGATTCTGATGGGAGGGAGGGAGAATAACGATGGAACCTCAGAGTCTGTGTTCCAGAGGAGGGTTGGTGGACCACGAGATGGCGGTACAGTGAGTGGGTTTGTGAATCTGTCCGTACGGAGCTCCCCTCGTATGCACGATATATGGGAAGAAATTGTTATACATTTTGTTATTACCCATTATGATGATCATAAAGTATGGTGGCATCATACACATTGCCCTTGATGACCTTTTGATTTTGACCTCTACTGTATAATACTGTAGATCCATAGCAATCTGTACAGTCGACCCTAATGCAGTGAATAACAAAACCGGCCACACACGTACACAAGAACGCGCGTATATCATCGCAGAAGTGTTTAGTTATTCAAATATGTAAATGGCGAGATTTGGATTGCAGATTTTCATTATTGTTGCCTTTAGGCACATGCGAATAGCGCTTCCAATGTGTAAAGATACAAGTCCTCTCCATATGGTGCGACTCCCAGAGGCAATTGGCAGCAAGGTACTGTACCGATGAGTCCTAATGAGGGCCTGCTACGGCCACGTTCTCTCAACGCTTCGAGTCGGCGGTAACTAAACGACAACAATGGCCACGCACTCAGTTCTTTCGAACCGGTGGTCTGGGCAAGGCTGGGGAACTTCAGCACGCGCACTGCCGCAGCCCCCCCCCCCCCCCCCCCGGCGCGCTGACGACTCGCCGCGTGGTGTCGAGCAAATGCACCCACTTCTTGAGCAGGATCTCCGACGCGCCCTTGCTGTAGAGGCGGTATCCTCCCTCGGGCGTGCGGATGACGGTGCTCATGGACTTGCGCGTCGAGTTGAAGGTGTAGACCTTGAACAGCGCCTCCTCGGGCACCTCGTCGCGCACCGGCGCGTACTCCTGGCCCAGCTCCAGCACGAGCCCCAGCAGGGCGCACTCCGTCTTGTTGCCCACTTGCCGGGGCAGGCCGCCCTCCTTCTCCGGAGGCTGTGTGGTAGTGGCGGCAGCGGCGGCGGTGGCAGGGAGTTCGTTTCACGGTTCGTTTACATCGAGCATCGGCTCAGCACTGGGGTTAAGCGGACGCTGTCTCCGAGGTAGGGTACAGTCTGCAGATGTTTCACAGTTAGGAGGGGTGTGGGGGCCGATGTCGCTACGTGGCTCTACCCAATTAGGTAATTCGAGAGTGATTGACAAGTTTCAATTTGGAACGTGACGCCGGCGCAAATCCCCTCCTCTGTGTCGAATGACGTCACTATCTGCAAAGCAGGCTTTGCATCGTACGGTTTGGTTAATTTCACTCTCAGTATTTACCAGGGCGGCCGAACGGTTCGAACCGCAAACCTGTTGAACAAAAGGCCAACGCACTACTGCTCGGGCCTCACACGAGCCTGACACCATTAAACCCCCCCCCCTCCGAACCGCCCCCTTCGCCAACCACTGACCAGCGCGGTGAAGTATGATCAAACAATCCACATGGTCAACATCATTTCGCAAACTGTGAAAATTCCTGCTGCGTTATTATTAGGATTACGATTTATGTCTCAAATTATCAGTAGATCTAACAACGGGCCTCACTTGAGCCTGAACACCTCCCCCACCACCACCACCCATGTCCTCCCTTCCTCCAAGTGGCACGGGGTCACCCACCAGGATCTTGGTGGTGTAGGCCGAGTTGACGGAGATGCCGGTGACCAGGAGGTCCATGACAGGCTCGGGGATGACGTCGGGCCCCGGCACGCGGCGATGGTGCACGCCGCCCACGTACGCCTGCGCCACGGCCACGCGGTTCGGTGGTTGCGGTCAGTGGTTGGCGGTTGGTCGTCGGCGGTTGGCGATTGTGGTGAATTGTGGTTGGTAGCTAGTTGGTGGTGCTCGTGGTCTATTGGGTGGCGATTCACGGTTGGTGGTTTGTGATGAGCACCGTAGATGTGTCTGTATGTTAAATTTCTTTACCACCATACATAGCCAATCACGCTAATCGGAGGTGCGGGGGAAGGGCAACAAACTAACACAAGAAAAGCAGTTTTAAAGAAATTAGTTTTCAACCACTAGTACTAACATCGTGCTCGTGGTTGTAGTTCGTGGTTTTGGTCGGTGGATGGAGATTAGTCATTAGCGGTTGGCGGGCAGCGGTTGTCGTTGGGGGTTTGTGGTCGTTCGTGGCGAGCGGCTCACCTGCACCACCGTCATGCGGTTGGTGGTGAGGGTGCCCGTCTTGTCGGAGCAGATGGCCGTGGCGTTGCCCATTGTCTCGCAAGCGTCCAGGTGCCGCACCAGATTGTTGTCCTTCATCATTTTCTGCGCATGCCGATTTTGGGGTAGGGAAACGTAAAGTCAGCGCGGAGGTCAGAGACTCGGCTCGGAGGTTAGAGACACCGAGTTGGCAGCGAGCCGATCGATGGTCTGAGCTCAGTCACCAATGACTGCGCAAGAGAAACCTCCGTCGCGGTAAACGTGCTCGCGTATTCCACATCGGTTTGACTGACGAACGCAACGAGCGCTCTGTGCGGGGCAAATAAAAACGCGCGGTGCCCCTCGTGTGGATAACGAGGCCTGGCGAGGTGACTTCACAAGCCGTGAATGCGGTGTCGTGTGCTGGGACACAGAGTGGTGCAACAACGTAGGCCGCAGAGTTCCCAATGGAAATTCCTTCATTGCGTGATAATGCCGACAGCGCAACTGGGAGATAACAGCGAACGCAAAACAATGAAATAAAGAAAACAATGCCCCTGATATTAACATCAGGAGGGATTATGGAATTGAGTACTCGCTGTTACATCTCGTGACAGATGGAGACGTAAAATCTTCATCCTATTAATCACAACAGGAAATTGCGCAGTTCGCTAATCGATGTTGACTATGCAGTTTGGTTGATCATACTTCACCACGCTGGTCAGTGCGGGGCGGCTCTGACGTCACTCGCCAGTTACGTGAGCCGCGGCCAGAGTTTGAACAGCAATGGAGAGCCCTTCATCCAGCAGTGGATAGGCAAAGGGATGCCCATCTTAAACATCGATCGATGTAATAAAGCCGATCTCGCAAGGGCGGCTCAAGAACATGATAAGCGGGTGCCGAGAACCGTCAGCAGATGCGAACGAGGCGGCGCGAGATGTTTGTGTGAATCCATCTGCCTTCACCAGGGCCGTCTGCGAGACAGCGAGGGTGGGGGGAGTGGGGGGCCACTTCCCTCACCACTTTCACAGCGACCTCAGCGGTCGGGTGAACCGAGCAGAAGCCAATGGCAGTCAAACCGAACGCGCGAGGAAATAATAACGGCGACAAAAAGCGACAGCGGTAACGCGGCCGGCTCAGCACGCTCGGCACGCTCGCGCGCCCGCCCACTCGCGCGTTCATTCCGCGGCCGACAGCTCCTCTCTGCCCTGACGAGCCAGGGAGGTGATCATTTAAAACCCAACCTTTCTCTCCGTCGCTGTTGGGCAGTATATTTCAGCTCGGTTGTTCGTGGCACGTTGAGCTGAGATGAACGTGTTCCGACAATGTCATATATTCAGAAAAACTAACTTTTATCGAAGTTTTACAGTTTACCATGTGAGTCAAGTTTACCATGGGAGTTCAGTTCACCATGGGAGTCCAGTTTACCATGGGAGTCCAGTTTACCATGGGAGTCCAGTTTACCACAGGTTATAATGTGCACTGGTGCCTACTTTAATGAGGGTGATATTGGTATGTAAAATCAAGATTGCTTGATGTAACAAACAGTAAAATAAGGCCAAATAGTTTAAAGTGTTAGACCAATATGCACTCTTCGTGTTCATCCTGGGTAAACAAATACCACAATGGTATTATTACTGGTTTAAATAATTGATACGAAATAAAGGATACGTGAGAGATTATGGCAATGCATTTATGAATGGCCTCTGACTGGCGCCCATTAATTATTAACACAATAATAAATCATTAATACAAGAAAGCATTCTAGATTTGAAGCTTTCGTGACTGCAAGGATTCATACTCTTAGTTCTTTCGGTAAAGTCACGTAGGTAAAAAATGAAATTATTTTTATTATTTTATTTTTATTAATTTTAATTTCATTTTTTACCTACGTGGCTTTACCGAAAGAACTAAGAGTATACAAGAAAGCATCACCGAGTCTCAAGGCTGATTTCAAAACGTTCCTGCGTTGGGAATGATGTACGCAGGTCGAACTTCTTTTGCACCGTACGGAGCCAACCGTGCTCGTCAGAGATGCGGGGGGAAGAAAGCAAAGTAAGTCGCAGGACAAAACCCACATTTTGGCAGTCACCAATCCAAGCTCCCACCCCCTTAGATTCTAAATATCTGACGAGTTCCACCAACCCTCGCCTCCAAAGCGCTGGCACGTGGGCACGCACCCCACTGGAATGTCACGAGGATGGAGACGGCACCATCAAATCGTCGGTGGGGCCAGCGCGTGCACACGGGTCAGGCGATCAGAGCGCCGGCGTGACCTATATCCCGGCGTGTTTCACCCGCAGAGCCCTTGGAGTCCCCAATTCAACCCGCAAATGTCAGGCAAAACAATGGCACTTCAAACGCCGCTTTATTACAAAAAGCCTGGCTGCCTCTGAGCACGGGCGCGCATCATCGCGACGCACGCAATTACCGACACGGAGTCAACCCAACCAAGACGAACGTGACGCTTTTGAGTTCACCGTAGCGAGCAGCCGCGGAAAATGAACGTTTAGGCTGGAAACGCTGGAGGTGCAACGATTTGGGACCCACCGCCTCCAACCCAACCCCGCCACCCCCAGCGACGGCGACTTCATGATTTGCCAAGATCCATGCTTTTAGATTACTGTAGCTAGGAACTGAAGGTTGACATTGGTGCCGTGACGGTTGGCGATTGACGTTTTGAGAAACAGCCGATCAGTTGACCTGCAATGTAGAGGACACGTGTGGACACCTGGATTCAATAAATGATCGCAATCAAAGAGTCCAAATTAGATATTAAATATCATTTACTTATTTAAATTATGGTGAAGTGGCCCCTACAGCCTATAACGGCTGCAGGGGCCATGGGGACCCATCACATAAGACATGTTATATATTTTCTTAATCACAGCCTTTGTAAATCCACTGCTGGATGAAGGCCTCCCGCAAGCCATTTTTAGTCATGGGGGTTGTTTGACCATACTTCACCACGCTGGTCAGTACGGGTTTGTGAAAGGGAGGGCTAAACACGAATTGACAAACGTCGGATCTTACGCACGCGATTCTGTTTGTGTGCCGTGAGCTCAGCTCATCAAAATTAAATCTCTAATTCAACGCTCGTCGCCAAACCCCACATTGACACAGACGATGAACACATCAGCTGCAATAATAACAACAACGCAGTCGATTCACAAAGAAAACAATAATATTCTAGTTATGAAATATGTTTAGTTCGCTCTCGTTGACCCGCTGCTTTCTGCCGGCACGTGTCGATCGTAACGATAGCAGCGCAATTTTTCGCACTCTGCTTTCCCGCGGGTTCCTCGCTTGACCACGACGTCCCCACGGAAGGGGGGTTCCTCATCTCCGCGCCTACACGGGGACGCTCGGCGCTGTCCGCGCGAGCCGCCACTCAAAAACGAATCCGCGCAAAACTCAGAAACGCCGCGGTGATCGCGCAACCCCCGAAGCTCCCGAGATTGAGTCGAGACCTCCCGCGCACACCCGCCCACACCCCGGCGGACGACCCTGAAGAGCGAGAATCAAAGGGGCCGTGGCTCAATACACGGGAGATGTGTGTCAGACTTCACGAGGTGCTGGAAGCCGGGAGAGGCAAGGGGGGGGGGGGGTGATGGGGGGGGTTCCATTCATTGGCTACCACATTCAGATAAGCCCCCTCCCACCCACTCCTCCCCCTTAACTTGTATTTAGGAACTTGTATCTTGGAATCCCTGCCTCACTTGATACAGTAAATCTAGCTGTGACGGTCCCACCTGGTGACGGAGACTTGTGTTGCCTCCGAAACGTCGTAATTTTTTATTATTTTATTTCTATTATTACTTTTATTCATTTTAATTTTTACCTACGTGACTTTACCGAAAAAACCTAAGAGTATGAATCCTTGCAGTCACGAAAGCTTCAAATCTAGAAGTGATGGGGGGGGGGGGGTCTCCTAGGCCCCTCCGGGAGGCCAATCGATGACGTGGCGGCATCGTCAGCGCTCGGGCTCAGAAGGCAAAGTCAAAAGTTCGAGCCCCCAAGGAGCTCAGGAGGCCTCGGGTTTAATTAACAAAACAGTGCTGCGTGAAATATAAAATCGCATTAAAATCATATTAAACATAATTAGCTGAAAAAGCCAATTGCTATCTCTTTCTCATCTCTTAATTTTGTCTGCATCCCTCTGCGTTAATATTTATTTTCGTCGACAATTCTCTAATCTCACAACATGTATATATATATCGTTTCACAATGCTTCTGTTCCAACTGTCGACCTCTCCCGTCATCTCGCTAGGATATTATAAATTGGTAAAAGGGGGGTGGATGGGGAACTTGGACCCCCTCTCCCCCCAAAAAAATAACTCATCTCGACCGAGGGCCCCCAATAAGCGATCACAGAGGTCGCGACCTGCGGCTCCGAAGCTGCGTGCAGCTCTTTAAGGGCCGCCTAGTCACGTGATTTGTCAAGGGCTGCCGTCTCGTATTCACCACACGGTGCATTGCGACTCTTGGTGAATACTGAGGAGTTGTTTTTTTTTCCCCGAATTAAAAACAAAAGTCTCTCCTTGTTATTTTGGTTGCCGACCCCCACCGCATGAGGGGGAGAGGGGGGTAGCTGACTCCGTGACCCGGCGCTTATTGAGTCAATTTCAACTTCTTCCCGCAACGTGTTCCTTGAGAACACGCGGCAGGTAATTACATTCCTGCGCGAGGACGGTTGCATGGAATTCAGAAATTACGCGACAATTACACAACGCCACCTCGTCTTTTCCCTCTCATATTTTCTCGCGAAGAGGAATTAAGTAACGAACGTGGCGGTCGTCTGTGCAATTACTCGCTCCGAACGCGAATGTTTCGCAACATTGGTGTTCTTAATGTAATAACCGCAGGTCACAAAATGTTCTGATGAGGTAATAATGTCTGTTCGGTTACTAAGAATATCCACGAGCTGCGAAATAAATGAGAATTTTTTTAAAATATTCATCAGCCAGCCAATCATATTCTTGTGCCAAGCCTCCACAGCCCTATGGACATTCAACAGTAACTTGTGACCGAAAACACATTTCACATGAACATCTTAATTTTTTTATTACTTCTGGATTTTTTGTATTTTCTCGTAGAGAAGTCCAGAACGGCCCGCAGAAGCGGATATGACAAAACCACCTCAGAGATCGCTTCAAGTCACCTATCGTCCCACACGATGGCGGGCGGCACTCTCTCACTCGTTTTTGCCACTGAGCGTAATGTTCATGGCATGACAGTAAAACTGATCGTTTCTAAGTCTCAAGAGCCAGAATTTTTCGAAATAAATAGCAGAAATACATTGTTACTTAATTTTTTTTTATGCAGTCAATGGTAACCAGGCTGAGACCATAAACTCACTACACCTGAGAAGATGGTTTAATGACCAGCGGCTGCCTGGATTCGAACCCAGGTTCTAAGCAGTTTCAGACCAACGCCACCCAGCCACCTCATCACATTAATTGTTTTTTACTCGTTAGGGGCCATCCATTTAGTATGTACGCATGGAGGGGGGAGGGGGGGTCAACCCAAACGCGTACGCTTGCGTATGGGGGGGTCTGCTGACAATGTATGCATACGACACGGGGGGGGGGGGTGAAGCCTCGATAATAATTTGTCTACATTGGCCTTCAAATGAGTTAGATAGTCCGGCGGTGAACTATCTGTTTGCTTAAACACGTTCATATTATTAATCCTTGATCATTTCTGCGTGGATTACATATCGGTCGTTCTATAGAATTCAGGGGGGGGGGGGGGGTGCGTCAAGCAGACGTACGCAGGTGGGGAGGGGAGGTAAAAAGTCCGCGTGCGTAGAGGGAGGGGTCAAGTGTTGACGGTTGAAAGCGTTAATGCATCAGCTCTGTTCGTCGGTCTGTAACACGGGGTCAGGATAACGCTTCATGAAGATGATCCGATACTTTCTTCTTCACAGTTTTTTTTACTTGGGCTTTGCTCCAACAATCTCAGCATCTTTCCCCTCCCCCCCCCCCAACGCACGGCGTGAGCGCAAGCCCGTGGTCCCACGCTGGCGTACGCAGCGCCAGGCCGGGCGCCAGGCGTGGGTGCCGGGGTGTGCCCTGTACCGTCAAACGTGCCTTTGGCACAGCCAAGTTGAATCTCCAACACACATCTGGTGTGCTGGACCAGTAACTAATTGGCACGTTTTGCCTCCGTGATAAGCTTTACTAATTGGCCGTGTCGGGTGGTGGCGGGTTTAATGAGACGTTCACATTTACGGCATCTAACCCCAAAAATGGATAAGCTCATGCTTCTTAGCACGGTGAATGACCGTTACGGTAACCCTCCCCCACGTGACATCTCTACTGGCCGCCCCCTCCCCCCAATCGGAGAGGAGCCAGAACCGGTTCAGACACAGGGGGGGAGGGGGGGGACGCGATCGCACCTTGACGGAGTAGGCCAGCGCGATGGTGACGGCCAGGGGCAGCCCCTCGGGCACGGCGACGACGAGCACGGTGACGCCGATGATGAAGAACTTGACGAAGTACTGCACGTAGACGTGCGAGCACTCGGACTGCCACGGGCGGCCCTGCACCACGAACGTGTCGATCACGAAGTAGAGCACCAGGATGATGACCGTGATGGTCGACACCACCAGGCCTGACGAAGCGCACGCACGAGAACGACACACACACGGTGTGCGCCTTTAAGAGGCACATGCCACGCAAAAAACTCCCAGAGAGCAATGCGTTGAGCACCATCTAGCCTGGTAGTCGCCAGATTAAGTGATAATGTCTTTCGTTACAGACAGCGCTTTTTGTATCTACTGCTGGATGAAGGCCTGTCCATGCCATGTTGGTCGTGGAGGGGTTGTTTGACCGTACTTCACCACGCTGGCTAGTAGAGCGGGTTGGTGAAGGAGAGGCTCAGAGGACCGGCACTCGACACTGACGTTTGCAGTGGCTGGGAAATGAACTCGGATTATCGCTTTTATAAAACAGTGCGCTATGAGAATGAACTCTTGCCACGTTGAATGTGCAAGGGGCCGCGTCTGTCTATTGATAGACCCTGGAATATGGCTCACACAGCACGCTCGCCATCGCGTCCCACCAGAAAAATATAAATCACCAAGAGGGCAAGAGTAAGTAAACAAATACGACGTGACACGCCATAAAGACTGAGCTTCTGCATTCCGAAGACGCAGCACCATCCGAGGTCTTCACCCCTGTTAACATTTTCTCTCACGCTCCCTTGCGGGTGATGCAGCACAACGTTCCACCTGCTTCATTTCCAGCTTGGCAGAATGCGCGGAACCGGCACTAAGTGGCAGCCTTGGTGGCACGCGGCACTCACCGGCTTTGCCAATCTGCACGGCCAGTTTCGTGAGCTTTCCCTGAATTGGCACTCATCAGCTTTGCCAATCTGCACGGCCAGTTTCGTGAGCTTTCCCTGAATTGCCACTCATCAGCCTTGCCAATCTGCACGGCCAATTTCGTGAGCTTTCCCTGAATTGCCACTCATCAGCTTTGCCAATCTGAGTGGCCAGTTTCGTGAGCTTTCCCTGAATTTCCACTCAACGGCCTTGCCAATCTGCGCGGCCAGTTTCGTGAGCTTTCCCTGAATTGCCACTCGTCAGCTTTGCCAATCTCCACGGCCAGTTTTGTGAGCTTTCCCTGAATTGCCACTCGTCAATCTTGCCGATCTGCACGGCCAGTTTTGTGAGCTTTCCCTGAATTGCCACTCATCAGCTTTGCCAATCTCCACGGCCAGTTTTGTGAGCTTTCCCTGAATTGGCACTCATCAGCCTTGCCAATCTGCACGGCCAGTTTTGTGAGCTTTCCCTGAATTGCCACTCATCAGCTTTGCCAATCTCCACGGCCAGTTTCGTGAGCTTTCCCTGAATTGCCACTCATCAGCTTTGCCAATCTCCACGGCCAGTTTCGTGAGCTGTCCCTGAATTGCCACTCACCGGCCTTGCCAATCTGCACGGCCAGCTTCGTGAGTTTTCCCTGCAGCACAGATTTCTCCTTTTTGGGGGTAAAAGACTTCTTCTTGCGTGCACCACCGCTGCCATCCTCCACGGCGGCCTCAACGTCCCTCAGGGGTTCCAGCTCCATATCCACGTCATTGGTGGCTGGTTTCCCTTGGGGCCCGGAGACACGACAACGTGGAGAGAAGAGGAGAGAGGGGGAGAGAGGGAGCACGTGGAGGGAGGGGAGAGAGGAAGCACGTGGAGAGGGAGAGGGGGGAATGAGGATTTAGGAGCGTGTAAAAAATGGAGCATTTTTAAGCTGTTAAACATAAAACGGTCGCGTCGTTTAGTTTAAGACGCAACAAAGCTGTAAAGTTAACTTTAGAATGTTAATCAGCAAAAGACTGCTAAAATAACCGTTGTTTTATAAAAAAAAATATTGTTCCTTTTTGGATTCCTGTGCAGATGATTATGAATAAGTGTGTTGTGGTCTCAGATTGCCAACTTTCCCATGGTGCCTCTTTATTTTTGTTCAGTCTTTACGGGAAAAAAAAAATATCCACTTGGGAACAACGCAAAGCACACGCGCTCCAATAACGCGAGCGGCCTCGTGATGGTAGCGGAAATCCGCATTCAGACTCGGGTGTCCTTTAGCAGCACTGTAGAGTACATAACGTGGAACACATGCGCAGCCTTCACTGCAAACTCACTCCGGTCTGACCCAAGGTAGCGACGCATTTCGTTGTTGCTATTTCTCCGAAGCTTAACAAACGACGTTTGCCACGGGAGTGGGGTTCCTGCTCGGTTTTTTATTCATAACCACGATCCCGCTCAGGGTTCAGCAGCACCGCTGCATGCATATAAGAGACTCGGAATCGTTCGCTATATTTGAGTCTTGTCTTAACACCTCACCTCTGTAAAGTGGCCTTTGTCTCCCGCTAGTTCACCCTGCAGGCTCTCTTTATTTACTGATTTCCATACACGGCGCACATTGGGAACTGTGGGTGAATTGCGCGCCCTACGACACGTTAGTACCCCCATGGCATCAACACTTCGCTGCAATGGCACTTGGGGTGACAATGCGAATAGGAAAATGTTAACTGCGCTGGCGAAATTATGTTTAGAAAGAATAATAATAATGACGATGTTAATATTCTGCACGGAGCGACGATTGCATGATACAGGTTTGGATTAAACGGCGTCTAAAAGCGAATTCCATCTCAAGACGATGGCACGTGCAACAGGGACTTCATTTTTTCGCCTAACTTTTTCTGGGTCGCTGGTCGGAGCAAGCAAGTGAACAGCAGAGAGTCGTATACTGGACATAGTGTGCCGAGTGTGGAAAAGTACGTGTGCACGTACGTTCAACTTATCTCGCACCGTACGTAGCCAACCGTGCTAATCGGAGGTGCGGGAAATAGTGTATGGGTCGCTGAGCACAAAACGAACTTGGCTAAACCTGACCTCTGAAGCTGCATCATGGGGATATGGAGACATCGATAGAAGGCATTTACACATCGCTCAGAGAGAGTCACAGGCAGGGCGCAGAGGGGGGAAGGTTCTGAGCGGAGACTTCAATCTGGCAGCACAGGCGTCCCAGGAGGGGGGAGTGTTCCAGAATGCAAGAGCAGTAGCAGCAGCAGCAGTGGACAAGGAATTTATCAACGACGAACATTTGACTGACTGCTGAAATTGAGAATGCGGTCTTGGCAGTGACAATGTCTGAGCCTTCGGCCACGCCGTAATTGGCTGAAGTCTCTCACCTTGCCCCCTGAGTTCGGCTCAGAATGTGGAATGACACGTGGTGGGGGGGGGGGGGGGGCGGCACCAGCAGTGAATTGTGGTTTAACTGGCTCGATTATATTATCGGTTGACCCACCAAGGATCTCTCTGTTAGGACACGTGGTGCATGGAGGGGGTCGAGGGCACTGCCCCGCGATTCTTAGCTGCCGCAGATTGACTGCTGCTGTCAAAAGCGAGGATTGGGGGTGGAGGTCGTTTAGGGGTTGTGCCAGGGGAGGAGCGGGGTCGAAGCCTGGATTTTGCCGAGCGCTGCGTGGGTGTGAGCGCGTGGACACGTGGCTCACTGTCAACACCAGGGACGATTGTCTGGACCGGTACTGGGACTCCCCTAGGTCGACTCAGCCTCAAATGAGCACCTGGTGCGGTGTGTAAACATCGCCACTAGGGAGGCAAAGGCGGCCGGACGTAGTGCTGGCCATCCACCCCTCGTGTGCTTCATAGGTGCGACTCGCTAACAGCACTTGCCCCAACAGTGTTGAAGGCTATATGGGAGTTCCTCGTTTCTGTCTTTGTACCTGTGTGTGTACTTCCACAACTGTGCACCTAGCATGGCACATGCGCCGTGGCGACGTCACCACCACTTCAGTGGCAAACGGCGGTTGTTGATGCTGCTGCTACTGCTGCTGTTCCACATTTGCCTTGCTTCTGGCAAAAAATTGCACCCGAATTTAATTAACCACGGACATCAACGCAGAGACGAGAAGCAGAGGCGACGGGCGGCAGCCGCGCGCAGGAAAGTTGACGAGCGAGGCCAGGAGGGAGGCGACCGCGCCTGACACGCGGGGAGCGGTGGCGGGAGTCTCGAACGGCTGCCCATACGGCAGGAGGTGGACACCCGTTCTCCCTGGGACTCTCTTCTCGAATCGCCGCGATGCGATTCTAGAGTGGAACCGCTGCTCGCGACCCAACGAGCTGGTCGGACTGAATGACCCCCCCCCCCCGCCCGCCCGCCCTCTCGTGTGTGCGAGCCTTCGTACCTTCTTACTTTCTGAATCCGAAGCTAACGCGAAAGAGTATACTATACACGTATGCATTGCACCCATTGATTTAAGATAACCGATTCACTTTATGCCAAATCTGACGTTAAGTTGATCGTGCATTCAGACATTTTTTTTATTACGCGTAAAATCTTTTTTTTTATGTTTCGAGAAAGTCTGGAATTTGCTCGATGGAAGCAAACGGCAGCAATGTTTAATCTTTTGAGTCAGTTGTCTCAAGCAGACAAGTGTGGTGATATCACGTGATGCACGCACGGCACGAAACAAGGACCAATCAAACGATCACAATCTCACATTCTTGCTATCTAAAATCACCTTTTGCGTGCATTTCTATGACTGTTGCTACTCTTCTCTGTTTCCATCTCGCACGCATTTTTTTCTGTCGGTGAGTGTATCCTAATTTACAAGTGATACAATGGTACTAAGTGTATGTAGAACTTCTTTCGCACCGTACGTAGCCAACCGTGCTAATCGGAGCTGCGGGGGAAGGACAAGTGATAGAATGTTATAGTAAGTGATAGAATGGCAGTGAGTGATAGAATGGCTGTGATAAAATGGGATGAATCTGTGAAGTCTGCGTGGCCATAGTGCACGGGGCCCCTCCAGGTCGCCGTGCGCTGTGGAGTTCTCGTGAAGCGTGAGGCGTCCCTGCCGGCCGTACCTTGCTCCATGTCGCCCGTCTCTCCGGCTGGCTTCTTGCCTGAGCACACAACGCCACGGCATCACCATCCGCAGCTCCGACACGTCCGCCAACAGACAAACAACAACAACCACCTCCACCCCGCAGAGACATTACAAGCCTGTGGTGGCGAGATGTTAATTACCTCGCCTGGTATACAGGAGCTTGTGGGTTCGGTCCCGACCCTGACGTGTGCTGTATATTTGGAGTTTGCATGTTCTCCCCGTGGTTGCGTGGATTTTTCTCCAGGCCCATCGGTTTTTCTCTCCACATTCAGAATCAACGTCACGCATTCAGAGTATTTGGCTGCTATAAAAAGCCAACTTCGTTGCGCTGTCATTTGTGGCCAGGTCGCTCCTGAAAGAGAGCTACATAGTTCGGTGGGCCTTACCTGCTAAAATAAATAAAAAACATAATTTAGTTTGGTTTATAGTTGAGTAATTCTGTCGAGATTCAAGCGGTTGCTCGAAGACATTTTGACAAACAAGCGTTGGACGCTGAGTTCGGAGCACGCGACGCCACGGCTACGTGAGTGCGATGGCGCGCACCGAAGCAATTAGACGGTCACATTGGCAAATGTGATTTGCGACTTTGATCATTACCTGCTGTGTGTCGATAGTGACATTATAATGTGCGGTTTTATTGAGGGGCTCCTGCTGTGTTATCTTCGTGTGGTCTGGGGACTCTTTTGTTATTGTTTTTGCCGCCTTGCCCAATCATGATGAATCGGACCTATATAATTCATGTTTCTATTATTTACTTATTGAGTGACTCGCTTACCGTTTTCTCACATTGTGTACTGCTATCATGTTTTTGTATTGTCTGCTGTTGTAAATTGCTGACCTCGTCCCAACTGGACATCTGTGACAAAGAGCTTCATAGCTCATCGCATTCCTGCTGCACTCTAAATAAACATTCTGATAAAGATGCTGAGAAGGCATTCATCACGGTGGTCGGTATTTAGACGGAACACCGAAACGGTTTTTGGTAAAACGGCGCGAAGCAATGGCAGCGTTAAACATTATTCCTCACCGCGCCAGGGGAAGTCACCTCAACCGGAGCCGTGCACTTTTAAATCAACATTGAAGACTCATTTCTTGACAACTGCCTTTTGTGTGTTTCGTTTGTCGTCCTTCTCCCGCACCTCCAACGAGCACGGTTGGCTGGCAATGTACGGTGCGCAAGAAGTGCAACGTACATACATAAAACCACGGTGCCAGCACCCCCCAGTACGGAGCGCTGGGATCGTGGGGTGAAGAAGAGACACGAGCTAGAGGGAGCTCGAGCCACGGATCTGCCCTTGGGCGGAGAATTTGGGGCAGAAGAACTGCGGTGGGCCGAGGCCGTTCCGCATAGACCGGAGCCTGCATCCCTCCTCACGCGACGAACCAGACGTGAGATGATGGCGGCAAGTCTGGGGCGCAACGGCCGGTACTGTTAATGGACGAGACGTGTCGACTACAGTTGGGAGACTGTCGTCCTCATCAGCCTGGAGGTTCCGTCACGAGTGTTCATTTTCTCAACCGCCTCACTTGTGTCCACACCAAGGCTCTCGGATTGTACAATGACCGGAGTATATCGCGGTCGTGCTGCTCGCGGCTCTCCCACACGTCTTTGGGTTGCTCGGCACGATGTCCGACGTTACGTGGTGGGAGCTCCGTCGGGAACCGAATGGAGCGGGCTCACTTTCTCGCCTTGATCATCTCGCGTTATTTATGGCATTGTTATTTATCTCAAGATGATTACACTCATTTACCCAGGACGGCCTCACTGTGTCTCAAGACACTTTTTCAAGAGGGTCCTGTCAAGTTTTCGACGCAGGGGAACGGTGTCGCTATGTGTAATGCCTATTGAGTGATTTACAGGTGATTTTTCAACCATTAGATGTTGAGTGCAATACCAGCGACATTGTATTAATTTCTATGAGAAGAAACCAGAGAACCCAAAGCAAACCTATGCAGAACAGGGGGAGAACATACAAACCCCACACAGAAATGCAGGCGCCTGAGTGGGGAATCGCACCAAGGCCCCTCTTGTTGCGGAGCACGAGTGTTGACACTGTGCCAGAAAAAAATGTATAACAGCATCGCTCTATAATCAGCAGCAAGCAACAATGCTCGGCACAACCCACAAATCCCATCGGAGAGCTGCACAATCGCTCATTCCGCGGTGCAGCCCGCGGAGCGATGCGGGCGATTACTCTCTGGACAATCTCCGCCGACGATGCGGAGCCGCTCACGGAGAACCAATGTGAAGTTTAAAGGATTATCCACACCGCAGTGGCGCCTGCATCAGATATCGGGGATGAGTGGGCAGCGGTCAAAACCGCCGTTGGCGAGCGAGCGCGCGTGTGGGTTACCTGCGTGTGCCGAATGCCCCTTGCTGTCGGGGCGACCTCCACTCTTATTGGTCGCCTTGGCGGCTGAGCGACACACACACACACATGGCGCAGGGTGAGAGCGGTGCATGCGTCAAACGCTTTCAATGCACGGGACTTCAAGGACCTGTCTACTGATTGGGACTCGATAATTGGTTTTTTACCCTTCTATCTGGCAACAAAACTGACACCTTTTTACAAGGAGTCATGTTTGCAAAGACCACAATACCTGCAGTCATAATGAGGTTCCAATGGTGATTGGGACTCGTTGCACGGCGCTGGGTTCCAACCTTTGTTTTGGAGCTCTCCCTAATCCCTCCCAGCGTTAGGTGGTGTCACATTAGCAGGGATTTATGTGACTTCGCCCCCCTTGAAAACCAGAGCCCCCCTCTCTCCCCACCTACTTTCTACCTGCAGAGAAAATGGCTTGCAATCAGAAAGTTGCGATTTCAAATTCTGATTGAAGTTTGACTCAGACCATCATCCCTCCAGGGTCGATACAGTAATACATTCTCCACTGACGTCTACCATGAGTGGGAATCGAACAAGGATCCCTAAATACTCGTACGCTCGACGCACACACACACACAGACAAAGATCTCCGTATAGCCCAAACGGGTCACTGGGGCAAGTGCTGCTAAGCGAGTGCCGATGAGGGTCGTCGCGCACACACCTAAGCGAGTGCAATGTCACCACAGCACTCGTGCCAGGCTAGGTGTGCTTTGAGGGCGCGATGTCACACGCCGGCACACACGTACGGACACACGTGGGCCTCACCTTTCTTGTCCTTCTTGGGCGTCGCCTCCTCCTCCATGGCGCTCGCCCCCATGAGCGTGAGGATGATGCCCGTTTGAGAGTTCATGCCCACGGCGGCCACCACCATGCGGCCCGAGCCCTCCATCACGTGCGTGCCTGCCAGCGGGACACGGCGCCCACAGCCGGTGTTCAACTGTGGTCACACGCAGGTGCTTCCAGCTTTTACCCCGCCTCCACCCCCCCCCCCCCACCACCAAAGTGACCAGAGGTACCTGGAAGTATCTGCAAGTAACCCTCAAGTCCCAGATAGTGCGCGCAACTACTCGGAAGAACCACAAGTACCACGAGTAACTGCTTAGCACCTGAAATTGTTCACAAGTACCTGCCAAGTAACACCAAACACCCGCAAGGGCCTGCAAGTACCCGGACGTATCAGCAAGTACCCTGCATACCTGCAAATACCATTAAGCGCTCACGAGGACCTGCAAGCACCGAAGTGCCCGCAAGTACAAGCAGTATCTGCAAGTATGTGTAAGAACAAGCCGCAAGTGGCAGTTGCTGTTGTGGCTATCATGTAAGGTGCTGTGTATGTCCATCTCTTGGCGCCATGACCTGGTTAGGAAAAGTGCAATCCGCGTTGAGTTGCCCCCACGAGCTTCTCACGGGTTTTCAGGAACGTGTCAATATGCTGCGCCTCTTCATCATGGCGTGCCAAAATACGGTTGCGTCATTTAACAATTTGTTTCAAGTTTGCAACATTTTCCTGGTGTCTCAGGAGGATGGCTGCCTTTGTTGTTGGCAGTGCCAGGGGAGGGGGGGGGGGGCACTCTCAGTAGAAACGCTTTGAACGTCATTTTTGTAGCTCTCCCTGGCGGCGCTGGGCTGCACGGTGCGGGGCTGTGTGCGATCGGCGGCTCAGGGGACGAGACGAATTCAGAATAAAAAATCACGGTCGTGTCTACTGTATGTCCAGACAGCATGGTTGGCTACGTACGGTGCAAAAGAGGTTCAAGATGCATCCATACATGTGAAGTATTGGAAATGACGGCAGGAACTCCTTGACGGGTAACACACTTTTTATTAAATCTTGACGTGTCACGATACAACGTGTGGTCTCTATTCTTCTGACTATACACTTCACTTAACTCGTGTAGACTCTATGCCTCTGGCTACACACACTTCACTTGACTCGTGTAGACCCTATGCCTCTGGCTACACACACTTCACTTGACTCGTGTAGACTCTATGCCTCTGGCTACACACACTTCACTTGACTCGTGTAGACCCTATGCCTCTGGCTACACACACTTCACTTGACTCGTGTAGACCCTATGCCTCTGGCTACACACATTTCACTTGACTCGTGTAGACCCTATGCCTCTGGCTACACACACTGCATTCCGCCTCTGGGTTACACAGAGTCCCGGTCCCTTTAGGACAGCGGGACTAGGTACCGCAGGGCCCTATCTCTTCCTCCCCGTCTTCAGTCTTCGCTGGTTACACACTGCCCGTGCGCCTGTGTGCATCCCCTTATATAGCCCCCGCTCACGGGAGACGGAGCGGATGCGGACCTCGACGTGAGCATCACTCCTTAGTTAACCAATGACGACGCGCTGTTCCTACGATCCGTTTTCCCCAGCGCGTGTTACCACTACCCAACCAATCACACCGCGCTGCCACCCGATCACTCCCTCTCAAGCGCGTCACCGGCACACAGCCAATCAGCACCACATAACCCACGACCCCGCGCTGACCCCTGATCCTTCACCGTCAGCGCCCGTCACCACCCACACAGCCAATCACTACGCGCTGGCACACGATCCCTACCCCAGCGCGTATCACCACTACACATGCATGCATACAAAAGCCTCCGATTCAACGTCGAGCCATCCAGAGCTGGCGCTACCCCATCGGGGTGGGCCCTGAGCAGCATTGATGTTTGAGGCTCCACTCTTTCGTGGAATGAACTCCCGAGTGAGTTGACGGGACAGATGACGGACAAGGCATTGAGATGTAGCGCGGTGAGATCGCTGTGGACAAAAGATAGAGTTGGAGTGAGATGAGAGCAGAGGGACAGAGAGACGAGACAGTGACGTAGATAGATGAGACACGTCGGCAAGACACATCTGGGGTGAGATTCGAGAAGAGATGGAGATGAGACGTGAGAGAAGATGACAAAATATAGATGCGTGATTCGGATTTCAATTCAAGCTGAGATATTTGGTTCGGGGAATTTCTCCCCCCCCCCCCGCCATGAATCCGGGGATCTTTGAGCTTTTTTTGGGCCCTGTGTTCTTGCTTTGTTTTCTTGGGACTTGGACCATCACTGGAACCAAGGCCAGAATTATAAAACAAACCTAAACAGCAGTGGAACATAACACAACCAATTATCTTACTCAGATAACGCGACAACCGTTGTCGGGACATACAGTAGACAGACACAGTGGTGCACATTCATCCTATAAAAGAACATTAAAAACGCTTGCGGTATATATGGTTCAAAAACGCGTATCATTAAAGGGAGGAAATTACATTGTGAGCTCATACTTGGCATGGATATCAAACTACACTTCCACGCTGTCTGGACCCCAAATATTTTTTACGCAAAAACCACAGACCCCTTCCATTGCCGTCGCCGTGTTCAACCACCGGCAAGCGACACGCAGGCGACACGCAAAGCGGTTTTAGCGACCGACGGCGTCACCGCCACCGCCGCCACCACCACCGCTGTGGACGCACATAACAACAACAGCAACTAAAATGCAATTGAATTTGCTGCTTCACTGGGCAGTGACGTACGGGAAAGTCTCGGACATGTTTTTTCGATAACAGTGTTTTTTTTGTTGTTGTCAGAAAACCTCGCGGCTGTGAGAGATTTGCGAATTTTTTTTATTTTGGCACCGACGTTGAGTTCTGTGCCCGGTTTGTATGGTGGAAGTGGGGGGGGGTCGCCGGCCGACAGACGAGGAGCGGGCGCCAAGAGTCGGGACCCCGTGCCCTTTGCACCAAAGTGAAATCATCGCATGTTCTGCCCCCCCTCCACGCACCCCCCCCCTGCCCCACACTGCCCCCACCCCACGCACTACCCCCCCCTTGCACTCCCCCCACCCCACGCACTGCCCCCCCCCCACCTGCCCCAATCCCACGCACTGCCCCCCCACACCCAATGCCTGCCCCACCCCACGCACTGCCACCCCCCTGTCACCCCCCACCCCACCACTGCCCACCCCCTGCACCCCCCCACCCCACGCAATGCCCTCCCCCCACGGCACTGCCCCCCCCCCTGCAACCCCCCCAACCCCACGCACTGCCCCCACACACGCACTGCCCCATCCCACGCACTGCCCCCCCTGCACCCCCCCCACACACCCCCCACCACCACTGCTCCCCCCCCCGCACTGCCCCCCCTTCACTCCGCCCCACCCCACACACTGCCCCCCCCCCCACTGGCACTGCTCCCCCCCTGCACCCCCCACCCCCACGCACTCCCACCTGCACCCACCCACCCAAACACTGCCCCCCCCCCCTGCACCCCCCACCCCACAAACATGGCCCCCCCCCTGCAACCCCCCCACCCCACTCCCATGCCCCCACCCCACGCACTGCCCCCCCCTGCACCCCCCCACCCCCACACTGCCCCCCCCTGCACCCCCCCCCCACACACTGCCCCCCCTGCACCCCCCCACCCCACGCACTGCCCCCCCCCACCCACTGCCCCCCCCTGCACCCCCCACCCCACTGCCCCCCCACCCCCACCCACCCCACGCACTGCCCCCCCCTGCACCCCCCCCCCACCCCACTGCCCCCCCCTGCACCCCCCACCCCCCACTGCCCCCACCCCACCACTGCACTGCCCCCCCTGCACCCCCCCCCCCACACACTGCCCCCCCCTGCACCCCCCCCCCCACGCACTGCCCCCCCCTGCACCCCCCCCCCCACACACTGCCCCCCCCTGCACCCCCCCCCCACGCACTGCCCCCCCCGCACCCCCCCCCCCACGCACTGCCCCCCCCTGCACCCCCCCCCCCACACACTGCCCCCCCCCTGCACCCCCCCCCCCACGCACTGCCCCCCCCCCTGCACCCCCCCCCCACACACTGCCCCCCCCCTGCACCCCCCCCCCACGCACTGCCCCCCCCCTGCACCCCCCCCCCACGCACTGCCCCCCCCCTGCACCCCCCCCCCCACGCACTGCCCCCCCCCTGCACCCCCCCACCCCACACACTGCCCCCCCCCCCCCACACACTGCCCCCCCCCCTGCACCCCCCCCCCCCCACGCACTGCCCCCCCCCCCACGCACTGCCCCCCCCCCCACGCACTGCCCCCCCCCCGCCATCGGGGTTGCTAAATGCCGGCTGGGTCTGCGTGTCGCAGATGACTTCACTGCGCACGGAGATCAAAGGGGGTTGTAATTCGCCCCCTTTGATGTCAAAAAATGACCCCGCGTGATATTGAAAAAAGAATTCCAACTACCACGCTCGCAGTAATTTGTCTGCTGGTAAAGGTCTCAAATATAATGCTTGCGCTCTATGTACGAACGAGCTGGGTAGGCGGTACGTGTCTGTATGTGTGTTGATGGTTCGTCCAAGTCCTTGTAGGCAGCTTTAGGGTTCCTTGTGGCTTAAGACAATGAATATAATAACACGTGAATGTCAATTAGACCCAGCATTGAGATGTTTGGCTAATTGCTTTAATATATCTTAAAAGTATAAGGAAGTCAGAGCACCTATATATATGGTAGAATAACATCCAAAGGTTTACAAAGATGGGTTACTTATCTCAACAGCTCAACTGCTATCTCCTGGCCACCCTGGGGCCCAGATGCATGTATGCATGTTGACCTTATTTCGCACTGTACTTAGCCAACAGTGCTAATTGGAGGTGGAGGAAATCGGAGGTGCGGGATGTGTGCGTAATCCATCAACCCTGCCTCCTGAAGCATGGGGATTTCAAGGCGTGCGCCAGCACACGCGCCCGGCCCCTATCAGCTCCACCTGGAAAAATCCCCGCCGAGGCCACAGAGACACAGGAGGCCGCGAGAGTGGTCGGGGAGAGATTTCTCACCCGACAGCAGCATGGGGTCTCTGTCGGCCGACTTCTTCACGTGGTCGGACTCGCCGGTGAGCGAGCTCTCGTCGATCTTCAGATCGTTGCTCTGGATGAGGACGCCGTCCGCCGGCAGGAGGTCACCTGCGGCCCGGCGCGGGAGACGGCGAGGGACAGGGCGAGACGGACACGGACATCGTCGGAGAGGCGGTCGGGGCAGCGCGGGATGACACTCACGGGCCGGACGGCAGTCCGGACAACATGAATGCGAGATTAAGTCAACACAGACGAGGCGAGGTGGTGCGGAGTCAAATGCGGCGGACAGCGACTCCGGGACGATGCCAGGCTCATGGTGAAGGATGCTCAGCCTACACTCTGCTAGTTCTAGGATGTGTGGGAACAGGAGGAGGACGAGGCTGGCAATGATTCACCTTTGGACAATTCGTCATCTTCATTGCCGTGCGTTTAGTTTGTTGTAACACGGCGATAAATAGCGCTCCGTGCCACGGCGCAGATTTAGCTGGATGTGCTGCGTAGACACCCGATTGGTTGTCGGGAAGTACAACTCGTGGTGAACACCCAACCACAGTGGGAGAGCAATACCCTGCAGAATCTCACGCCTATTTCTTTTCCGAAGGGTTCTGCTTTGGGACGATTAGCCAATTCCATCGATGAGCGTTCGTGTACAATTTGCATGAGTGGCAAAAGGCTTGATTCCTTCACGCAAGACCTTACACACACACACGGTGGGTGTAAGAATCGGTTTGAATCGACGGTTAAATAAATCATAACATGCAGGCCGATCTCAACACCAATCGTTTCAATATGAAACAAAACCAGCACGCAAGCACTTTTGACCGAACCAGATATGAAATGTAAGATATCTCCTTCCTTAAAAGCACTCGCCACATTCATCAAGCGCCCGATCTGATAGCAGAAAAATACAGAGCAGGATAATGTGTCAGGCAATCGCTCTTCCCTCTACTCTGAAGAAGAGCCATTGCCTGGCATAACCCTGCTGATTTGGGCGCTTTGAGATTCATTGTAAATGGCGCCTGATAAATCTAAATGATTATTATTCTAACTTGATTATTCTAACTTGATTATTATTCTGATTATGGCTGCGCCTTTTTATGCTATAAAGGCAGTAATGGTAATGAATGTGGGTTTCATATTATATTTTATATATGCTCGCGTACAACTGCCAGGGTGGAGTGGTGGCATGGTGGTTCGCAAACAATGCTCTAAACCACGTGACCTGGCTTCAATTATAAATTAGGGGTCGCACTGTCAAATTATTTTTGTATAATTTTACCGTGCCATTTATATATTTTTTCTATTTCATTTCCTCCCTTGGTGTGAATATAAAAATGTAGTGGATATGTTATAAAGCCTTTCCATGGATTTTAAATCTTTATTCTCACGTGCGAATTCAAGTTGTGACTTTAATCGCTGAAGAGAAACACCGTGACATAGGTAGCAGGTGCTACTTACAGCTTGACGGAATCCCATCATGTATTTTAATCTTTAAATAAGTAGAAAAAGTGGGGGAGTAACGTAAACACGCCATGAATCATGCGGACAAAAAACAAAACAACAACAAACACCACACAGATGGGGACACAATAAAGCACCCCATAACTACATCATGGCCACACCATCGATCTCAAAGTCTTGCACGACTGCACTGCTCCGAATTGACAGGGCACCATTACGGCAGCGAGGCGAGCCGTTATTGGCGATGACAACCCTGACCGCTGCCAAAGGTGGAGTGCTTTCCAGAGGCCGGACGGAGGGAGGGGTCGGTGACGGGGGTGAGGGGGGTAGGGGGGTGCCCGTGCGGGAAGAGGGAGGGTTGTGGGGTGTCGGTTGTAGGTCGCGGATTTCGGGCTCACCGACGTCGTCCGTGCCAGTGCTTGACGCGTCGTTGGGAGGTGGGAGGATTCATAATTTCCGCGCTCGCGCGAACGTGCTTGGTGCCAAACACGATCGCCGGTTTCCTAAAGATCTTTCAGTGTTACACAGTCGCCAAGTTCCCACGAGCAGCGGGTTCATGTCTGTCATGTTTCTATTTTTTTTTTAAAGCTGTCTTTATTTTACCAGGTGAGCCCCACTGAGCTATACAGCTCTTTTTCAGACGCGATCTTGCCACAAATGATGGCTCAACGAAGTGGCTTATCACGTGAAAATGCATAGCAGAAAAATACTCTAAATGGCGGGGGGGGGGGGGGCGGGTAAAAACGAGGAGCCGGATAAAAATCCACGCGACCACGAGGAGAACATACAAACTCCAAATATAGAGGCATCAGGGTCGAACCCACGACCTCCTGTATCCCAGGCGAGGTAGTTAACATCTGGCCAGCATGGCGCCATGATCCACATGTCAGAGCGAGTGATGCGCAATGATTGAAAACTTTGTCCTCCGGCCACATCGGTTGGCTGCTGTGCTCATCAGTCTCAGGTTCCCAAAGGCGCGCCACCCTAATGTCGTTTACCTCACTATTTCGTCCATCAGATCACAATCCATCTTCAATAACTGCCACCAGTAGGGGCGGAGTGATGGCCAAGCTCGAAGCACGGCATTGCCATTAACCTGGGGAGCCAAGATTGATTCCCAGCCGTGGCTAACATCAGAGTTGAGCACCATCTGAACCGATCGCCAACCGGCGCTGATCGGCGTGGCGAAGCGCGTCCACGCAACGCCGATGAACGACACGGCGCGGAAGAGGAGGCCACCCTCCAGCAGTCGGTCAACATACAGCCGTCGTGCTCTCCCTGGTCGAGAGAATCCAGCAATATTGACGAAGGGATCGGAAAAAGCCCAACCACTGGGCAGTCGGTCGTGCGTCCGCCCCCCCCCAACAACCCCCCACTCCCCAGGGAGCCCCAACTCACCGTACTTGACCTGGGCCACGTCGCCGACGGAGATCTCGGCCACGGGGATCTGCACGACCTGTCCGTTGCGCACCACGGAGAACTTCTGCTCCTGCTCAATGCGGTTCTGGAGGCCGCGGAACTGGCGCTCCTTGCTCCAGTCGTTGAACGCCGTGACGAGCACCACGACGGCCACCGAGAAGAGGATGGCGACGCCCTCGATCCAGCCGGCCTCCGCCTCGCCGTCGTCGCCGCCGCCGCCGCCCGCCAGTGTGCCGCACTCTGCGGGGCGTGCGTGTGCGCGTGTCGGCCACGACGAGGAAAAACGATTGCACGCGCGCACGTCTGTCTGTCTGTCTGCGTAGTGGGGAGCGGTAGCAGTGGCGGTTTCCGTGCTGCGCTACGATCACCGGTGACCCGGGTTCGATTCCCGCTCACGGTTAACGCCAGTTACCTGAGCCGGTCCCGGGCCATCCACTAGGTCGACTCAGCCTCAATTGAGTATCTGGTGTGGTGTTTAAACATCGCCACTGGGAGGGAGACAAAGGCGGCCGGGCGTGGTGCTGGCCACCCACTCCCTCGTGTGCCGTGCAATACGACTCCCTACTAAAATGTTGTTTATATTGCATCGAGTTTACAGACAGACGGACGGAGCTAAACACGTTAACGCTTTAAAAACTCGGTCGGGGCGCGTAAAGAAATATCTGAATGCGTTGTGTACTTGGACGGCCCTCTTGTCACTCCACTGCTGGATGAGGGCCTCCCCAACCCGTGCAGGTCATGGGGATTATTTGAGCATACTTCACCACTTCGGTCAGTGCCGGTTGGAGATTCCTGCACCTCCCTCTGCCCCCTACAACATCGTCCCACGCAGCCGCTTGAGAACCTCTTCTACGACGCAACGGCTAATCCAGGCTCACACCTGCTTAGCTCACGAGACCCTGGCGCACTCTGGGTGACTGAACGCGCAAAGCTGGTGATGAGATACCCCAGGAGTGCCTACAGATGGCCGCACAGTGAACTTAAACGATTAACTTTTTCCGTTTAATCCGCCTGCTTTCACCAAACGCGTCGCGCTCTGCGCAGCAATGAGATGTCGTGCGAGTTATCAAAGTTTTGAGGTTTTTTTGCCTCCCTTCCAGGACGTCTCCTTAAACACCTGGCTGACCATCCGTGAAATTGAGCTTCGTAGCTCATCGGATTCCTCCAGGATAAATAAAGATTCTGGTGATTCTGAAATGGTTGGAGGCGACCGTCCGTTTGTTGACGAAGCGAGAGGCTCGGCGACGACGCGTCTACGGGCGCAGGGGCCGTGCGGACGCGGCGACGTTACCATCGCTGCTCTCCTCGGGCGGCCGGTAGAAGGAGAGGCCGAGGGAGACGATGGCGGCGATCTCCAGGATGATGAGCGTCACGTCCTGCAGGGCCTCCCACACGAGCTCCAGGAAGGACTTGGCCTTCTGCGGGGGGATGACGTTTCTGCCGAACGCCTGCCTCCTCCTCTCCAGGTCGCTCGCGCTGTCGCTCAGCCCTGGCCGCCGCAGCAGCAACGGCACCGGGGGGCGGAAGGAGGGGGGGGGTGGTCGTGATGAGACGGTGGCACGGGGAGGTGGCACGGAGTGATGGCAAGGGGAGGTAGAGTGTCGTGATGAGATGTTGGCACGGACGGGGTGATGGCACGGGGTGATGGCACGACGAGGTGGCACGGGGTGATGGCACTTCGTGATGAGACGATGTCACAGGGAGCTGTCACGAGGTGGTGGAGTGGGGTTATGGAATGGAGTGGTGGCATGGGGTGAGGCGGTGCGCACAGCCGAGACTCGTGGAAATAACCGCGTTCATATTGTTGCGCAACGTCGCTGTAAACACGACGGGCAGAGCCAATTCCGTCGATTCAAGCAAAACGCAAGTGCCCACTCACGCCATTGCTGGCGGAATGGGCCGCCACGACAGGGAGCCCCTCTAGTGGGTACTTGGCCTCCTCTTTCACGCTGGCCAGTACGTCTTGGAAGAGGTGGGGGTACCCACACTTTACCCCACCACACGGAGGGGAGATTCGAGAAACGTTCTCCGTTGTTTCAACTGCCACGCCGGGAGACACCTGGATTGCAAGTCCAGCGCGCTCAAGTTTTACACCACAGCGGTATCCTTGGCAGTTATTAGTAAAACTGCAATATTTATTGCCGTCACGAATTGCATTTTAAAAACCCATGACAGAAGCTCCAGGGGAGGCCCCACATTGAGACTCCGCATGAATGCAGAGACACAGAGGGCAGAATTAAATCGCCAAAAACCTGCTTCATAAAGAGATGCATCAGGCGCACAAAGTAATCCGGCGTTGCACACTAACATGGGATGAGCCGGGATGAAAGGAAAAATTAAGGGATAAGCACGACATATAGATATTTTTCATGAAATAGAGTGTGTGCTGCGGTCGTGGTTCAGAGGTCACAGCACTAAGCCCAACACCGCTGGGATCCAGGGGTCCAATTCAGGTTTCGGCCGCCCGCGATTAATCAGCAGCTCGGACCGGAGGCAGCTGCTTTGCGTGAACCATTCGGCCTCGACAGCTTGCCTTTCCCTCGTCCTTCTGAGGTGGAGAAGCCTAGAAACACTTGTCCTGTGGATAGACTCACCCCCACCGAAGGAATGTGGAATTTCCACCACCGGTTGATGGCTGCAAATAGGAGACGGGTGCTCTGCCAGGCTCAACTGAATGGCAAACTGCTTTGACCTTCGACTCCCGTTAAGGCGGTCCACTGCCAGAAATGACAGGTCTGCTCTACAATTTTCCAGTGAGGGCCTTCCTCTTTTCTCTGCTGCCCATTACTGTCTCTCTTCTGAAAGATGCCTCCTCTTATTTTCCCGTACGATGTGCAAATCTCAACGTTTTTGCCAGGGCGTTTTTGAGATGCAGTCGCATTTCAACGCTCTCCAAATCCTAATACACTGCATGGCGAGGCTTCCTCGGATAAACAAAGGACATTATTATAATCTTGACTATTACCGGAGGTATAAAATGCAACAATGGCTGGTCTATCTGGCCCCCTTTCCCGGGCGACAAGGAAGCGATGTGGCAGAAGAGAAACAACACTGTAGGCCATGGCTGATGTGTTTTTTATTAACGTTGCTCATATTCCCGATGTCATCCCCACTACGCTATCGGCGTCACGTTACGAATGAAAGCACCCATTAGGAGGTATCGTAGTGCAGTGCGAGACGTCGTGTTAGCGAGCGGCCCGCGGAATTGGATATCGCAGAGCTACCATAGAGATCCCTTCAAGTGACCTTTGATCCACGGAGAGTAATGTCCTTCGCACGGCACCGCACCAACGTGTCATTTTCAGAGATAGAATTCAGGCAAATCAAGCTCAGCACCGAAGTTGATGCGACGGAATTTGTTTTTGTTGTTGTTTGTCGGCGAGCGTGCCAGGACCACGAACCCCGCGGCGCTTGAGAACGGGCGGCCCCGTGAGCGCACGTACCGTCGGTGGGCACCATGAACAGCACGTACCGTCGGTGGGCGAGGTCTTGAGACGGCGGCACAGCCCCGGCACGTCCGTGTACTTCTGCTGGATGTCGTGGAGGGCGGTCTCACCGCGGAGCTCCATGAGGGAGCGCAGCTCCATGAGGGAGCAGCCGAATTGCCCGCCATCCGAGCCATCCGACCTCGGAGACAGGGCCTCCGAGCCGTTGTTGGCGGCCATCGGGGCTCGCTCGCTTGTCGCTCGTTAAAATAGCGCAGTCGGACTTTGGGTTCCCCGTGGCCTTCGTAGGAAGCGTGCGTGTGTGCGTTGTTGTTTTAATGTGAGATTTTGTAATGACGAATTACGATGATGATGTTTGTCTTTGATTCTTCAAAAAAATAAGCGGCAGCAATTTCATTTGGCGTTTGAAAGTTCTCTGATTTTCTTCATTCTCTTGATTTTCCCAACCAAAACACAACAAAGACGAATCCTCAGCGATTCAAATTGTCCACGGCTTCAACGAACGACAACGATAACACGACGACACCAGGACACGCGGGCGTGCCGCTCCCAAACCTCCAACGACGATCCCCTCGAACCCACGCCCGCCTCACGCCGCCCGCTCCAAGCCGCCACGGAGCAGGCAGAGCCCTCTCGACATTTCTCCCCGGATGCCTTCGAGGCACCCCGGCGAGCCGAGCAGCTACGCGAAGAGCTCCCGCGGAGGCCCCCGTACGTGGAGCCGCCCACTCCAGCAGGCAGCCGGCGTCGTCGGGAAACAATGCCGCTCGTGGAATCGAGCCCAAGTCCGCGGGGCGGCGTCTCGCGTGTGGCGGCGGCGGCTACGGCGAGCGGCCCCCTGGAAAACAAAGAGCATTGTGAGTTTGGCCACTTCACGCCCGAGGGGCGAACGCTCCGTGGTTATCGACGATCGGAACGCTTCCGAGCAGCGGCGGTGGCGGTGGCGGCTGGCGGGCAGCGGGCGATCGAATCTCGCCGACGCCGGAGGGGAGAGGGGGGAGGGGAGGGAGAGACTCCGCCGATCGAGACTCGCGTTTCGCGTCGGTCAACACCGACCCGGCTCCGATGGAAACGCACCGATCCGCCCGGGCCACTCGCTCAGCGGCACGGTCAATCGCCTCCCTATCACTCGTCTATCGCTGCCACGACTGCGACCACTAGCTCTGGTTAATAATGTGCCCCTGAAGTTCGCTCCTTGATTCCTCCACCGGTGTTGAGGACAGCGTCTATCAGGCACTGACTGTTTCGTCTCGTCCCATACTCCGTGCTGAACCACCAGCAACACCACAACGCATTCAGGCACGTAGGCACTCACCCACCCACTAATTCACACCCTCACCCACTCACTCACCGTGTTCCACCACCGCCACATTGCAGGTGACAATGATTCTCTTGCTGTGTGTGCCCTCACACAGCTCCACACAGGGATCCCTCCCATCGCCTCTTCTCCCCAAGATCTCGCCACAGCCGCTCTCAATTCAAGGAACGTGTCTGTCTACCCGTATCTATTGCACGTTCAACGGTGCTGTTTGTTGCTGGCCTCATTGCTCCTGCCTATTGCCAGCCCTGTCGTGTGCGGCTATTTAACGAGGTGGGGCTGGTGGTGGGGGGGGGGGCACGACACAGCGAACGTTCGCTCAACGTTAGACCACGTCAAACGGGCTGAACAGAACGAGTGACGATTCGCTCCGCTGTTCTCTGTCGTGCATTCTGCTCCGGCGCTCGCCCCGTGCGCGTGTCACGGGCAACGTTCGCATTCGCCGGAGTTGCCCCGATGATTGTGGGTCCGACCGTCGTGTGAGGACGCGGTGCCAATTCTGGGCGGTAACTCTCCGCCACCCGGCGACAGAGCCAGTCAAAGCGAGTTGTCACCCCCATGAGCAAATCTCGCCAGATTGTTTTTTTTTGTCAGCAAACCCGGTGGATGTTGAAAAGAGAACTACATTTTTGACCAAACCAATGGGCTGTTTGCCCCCACGTGAAAGCTGGATTCGATTGGCCCTCTCCCAGGTGGCAGAGGTATCGAGCTGAACATTGGCATTCTACCTCGTCGATGATCCAAGCCAGCAGCAACTAATCACGAAGCACGAGTCACGCGTGTATGTGGCTACAGGTGTGGTGCAGAGCTGGCAAACTTCGAATAGGAAACACCACCGGTTCAATATCGTAACAACATTTGTTTTACTCGACTGTAAGAATTTAAAAGGAGGGGGCTGAGTTTTCAGGGCTGCCGCAGCTGATGACAACCACGACGACTGGCGCTGGTGTTGCGAGTAGTTATTGTGTCTCGTAGGCAGGGAGATACCGGGGTAAAAAGTCACGCACTGCAATGGGTTTGCGAAGCCCGCTTCAATAATTGACGGTAGGGACGCGACTGGACAACGCACTAGCGGAGAGTTGTACCTCGGGCGATTACTGATGGCGCATGGGGATTCGAATGAACGGGTGGAGAGAGAGAGAGATCAAGAGAAGGGCTTGAGGGATTCCAGAAAGCCGACTTCAACGCTGACAAGCGGCATCTCAACTTGGCCAGGGAAGAGCGCTCACAGTCCGCGCGCGTCGCATCCCAAACATGGGCACTGGCAGACAAGGTGGAAGAAGACAGAAAGTCTCACAAGCACGCTTGGAAGCGTCGCCGAGAGACAGGTCGAGTGAGATGTTAATTAGGACGCGACACGAGGAGGAATGACGGCTGGATGCGGGAATCTGGCGACGGAACGGCAGCCAATGGATACAGCACGCTCGAGAGGACGTCCTCCGTGGAGACGGAGCGGCTAGATCCGCTCGTGCAGGAGTGAGATGGATCGTGGCATCGCAGGAATCACGATGGAGGGCTACGGATCGCAGTATATAGATCAAGGCGCATAACAATAACGAGACTAGGGGAGACCTTCGGCTAAGCTACGTACAATGCAAAGCTCCGATCACCCTCGGGGCACGGCCCACAGACGAGAATCGGGATTAAAGGCCGTCCGATTATTTGGGATTCTAACTCACAAATCGTGGAGTTAAAGTGCCCATCACCTCCGAACCCCTCGGGTCTCCAAACAGCTGCCTTGCGCCGGCTCCGAGCTATTCTATCCGAGGACATATGGGGCGGCTCGGTCGAGATGTCTGGGTGTGGGGATCAGGAGCTATTTGAAGTTGAGCTATTACCCCCCCTCCCCTCCCCAGAGAGGCGGTCCCCGTTGGCGCAGAGCGGCGTGTAATCTGGGTCTGCGAGAGATAGCGAGGCGCTGGGTCTGTGAGCAGCTCTCCTCTCGCGGCATCACCACACGCCCCCCCCCCCCACACACTCGCTCCACCCCTCCCTCTCTCCGACCCTAACGTGGCCACAATTCTGGTCATTTCACTTTTCAAATTTTCTTCCTTCAACGGTTGCTGGAAAGCGCAAACAAAATGTGTGTTTTTTTGTTGTGTTCACGCACCGGTCGGCATAGCGACGCAGCGTGGAGCGGTGGCGCAGAGGATAGCGCGCTGCGCTTTGAAGACAGATACCCGGCTTCTATTCCAGGCCACGGGTAACATCAGTGGCGAGTGATGTCTGAACCGGTCCCGGCTGCCGTAAGCGGCCTCACCGATCTAAACACCAGCGTGGTGAAGTATGGTCAGACAATCACCGCAACTCGCACAAGGTGCAAGAGGCCCTCATCCATCAGTGGATCGACACAGGGTTGTAAATAATTACACTATTATTATTATTCGCCAAAATTTAACTGCAATACATTTGAAAAACATGCGATTGGCATCAGCAGGCAAGCAACACCGCAGTGCTGCATGTAAGACGCCCTGCGTTACTAACGAGGAATACAAAAGAGGTTCACTCGAGATATTTTCTGGTGCCGCTGCGCCTGAGACGACCCGGCCCAGCCGGGAGTTCCAGACGAACACTCGTCCAGGCAGGGCCGGATTAAGATTGTGTAGGCCACTGGGTTACAGGTACTGTGAGGCCCCCAGTAATATTTCCAAAAGGAAAACAAAGTTAAAGAAAAATAAAATTTATTTGTACAATGCTAACAACAAATAAAATTCAGGATTAATAACCAAAACAACTTTTCACTTCAATCTCTGGAGGCGCTCCAGCTGGCGGAGGCCCCTGGGCTGCATCCACTAAAGCCCCCGTGGTGCCTTAATCCGACCCTGCGTCCAGGGCAGATGAGAACCACACTCACACACAAAACAAAGACAAAGATCCCCCCATATAACCTGACCAGACCGTTGGGGCAAGTGCTGTTAGCGAGCACCTACGAAGACCAGTACTACGGCAAACGAATAGGGTGGGTGGCCAACACCACGCCCGGTCGCCTTTGTCTCCCCAGTGGCGATGTTTTCACACACCCCACCGGGTACTCATTTGAGGCTGAGTCGACCTAGGGGGGGGGGGCCAGGACCGGTTCAGATAATCGTCACTGGTGTTGGCCGTGAGCGAGAATCTAACGCGCGTCGCCAGGTTCGCAGAGTAGCGCCCTAACCGCTACACTACCGCTCCACACGCGCACACACGCCGACACACACACAGGCGCACACACACGCGCACACACACACAGGCGCACACACACGCGCACACACGCCGACACACACACACACGCGCACACAGGCGCACACACACACGCGCACACACGCCGACACACACACGCGCACACACACACGCGCGCACACACACGCGGACACACACGTGGACACACACACGCACACACACACGCGCACGCGCACACACGCGGACACACGCACACACACGCCGACACACACACACGCGCACGCGCACACACGCGGACACACGCAGACACACGCACGTGGACACACACACACACGCACGCGCACACACGCCGACACACGCGCACACACACACGTGGACACACACGCACGCGCACACACGCAGACACACGCTGTCGTGCGCGTTCCGTCACCTTCGTCAAACTTGGCACGGCAGGCGCCGTTCTTATTTTTTTGGGGTTGGGTGGGAGGTGACTGCCGTTGGATGGTTGTCATCACGTCCTGCGGGGCCGGGAGCGTTTCCCTCTCCGCAGCGATAGCAGGGAGCGTGGAGGTGGGGAGAGGGAGGCGTTCGAGCCACTCGTGGGTTCAGTGACGACGACGGCGTTCTGCAGGATCGCCTTCGTCTGCGTAACGATTCGCAAACGACGCAAATCGGTGGACCGTCGTCAGTTTGGGGTTCGTATGTACGCATGTGTATTATGTTGAACCTCTTACGCGCCGTACGTAGCCAACCGTGCCAATCGGTTGGCTACATATGCTGTGGTTGAAGAATCACTTTTGTTGAACGTTGTCATCGGATGTAGTCTCTGGAGGGGTTCACGTCAATTCGTTGAAAAAATATCCAAATATGTAACAATGATCCTCACGCGTACAATCCGACGGATGCAATGTGAGCCCAATGACTCATATTCATCGTTGCGTCGTTACATCACGTGCCGATGTCGTACAAACCCAAGGAGACACATTTCCTGACGTAAACATTCAGAGATGACAACTCCTCCTCCACAGACGAGTTCCCCACCACCGTGAGGGTGGAGAAGGTCCCAACCTCTCGGCTCCCCACGGACACGGACTCACGCTGCCCGGCCATGACCTCACGGCTTTCATCCAGCAGTGGAACGATGAAGTCCCGCGTATGTACAACGGGGGTCCTCATTGACACGCACCAAAAATATGTCATTTCATCCGACCCACCGTCTAAAGCCCACTTCGCACCTTCATAATAAGCGAGCAAACTTCTACACCGATCGCTGAGCGACATGGTGCTCAGGTTGGTGTCGTCGTTTCAGCGATGAGACGCAACTCCTGCAAATCGCTCTCATTGTGCGGGCGTCCAGTGCTTTGTCGCGCACAAAGCGCCGAGCGCCCGCGGAGGCTCCCTTACTCCACCGGCTTGGCAGCTTGTTTTTAATAATTTATTTGCAAATAGATATTTTTTTTGGTTTTCTTTCTTTCAACATTCGATGCTTGGGGGGGGCTTTGAATCGGGCACACGGTGACCTACGCGCGTGTGATGCCAGGGGTCTCCAATATTCCATTTGACAGCGCGCACCCAACAATCGTTATGAGTCGCCGCAAAACACCTACACCCCCCCCCCCCCCCACCACGCGCCAGGAGGAATACGTAGCGGGGATCAAACCTTTGATTGAAAGAAGATTCGCTCAGCGGCAAGTGACCGCTTAGACTACCAAATCACATTGTGATCAGCATCGGTCCTCAGCAACACGATGCGTACAAAACGAGTCGCAGTCAATTGTCAACACCTCCGCTAAACTAAGCCACCCCGGTCGCGTCGGACATTGTTTGACCATACTTCACCACGCCGGTGGTGAGCGGGCATCAAAGTCGCGTCGCCGGGCGATGCTCACCCCCGCTTCGCCCCACATCTACAATCACGTACGGAGAGGTTACGTGAACGCACACCCATAACGTGCTATTCACCCGATATTGTTTACCTTATAAAGTACTCCCAGCAATTACAGAGACGCATTGAATGTTATTAATAACCATTACACCATCGCGCAGCCACTTGGCCAACTGAAACAATGTACACCACGGCCTGCAGCTATCGGTCTTTGTTCCAAAGCCATTCGGAACACAAAGGTGCACTTGCAAAGCACTGGATAATTAAATACTATGTCGCGTTTTATTTACATAAAGCGGTATTATATACGGTGTAACGTTTTTTTTTTTGGACCGAATTCTGGTTTTCGCTGGATGCAATTTCGTCAACGCAAACAGCGATCGTGTGCGGTCGGAAAATAAGCGAAGCATTGTGAGCGTGTGATTAACCGCCGTGGCTCTCCATATGTTAAGAAGGAATGTAGTTAATTGTTAACACGTGCAGCACTAGTTACGCTCTCCGTTGTGCATACACAGGAGGCATACAATAACAACGCGGCAAACAGCTACGGACGGGACAGAAATAAGAAAATGGGAAGAAAAAAAATGACAAAAGTAAATGGGTTTTGTATAGGTCACACACATCCATTTACATCCTTTCAAGTTTGCAAATATTTACCGTCAATTCACATCAAGGCATTCAGTGAACGGGAAAAAGGGCCCCATTATGGCGGCGATGCCCTGACGTGTTTGACCGCAACACGACGGGGTGGTCTTTCCGCGGTGGCCGCGCGCGGCCGTGCCACCCAAAGGCGCTGCGCCGTTCGCTTCTCCCGGGTTATGCCGCGCGGAGGTTCGGCGCGTGGACAGGGCGACGGACGCAGCAGAAGAAGATGAAGACAAACAAACCTCCCCCAAGCCGGACTCGGCGAAGAGAGTGGAAAAAGGTGGCCCACCCCCGAGCGAGTGAGCGAACAAACGAACGCACGCACGTGGTTCAGTGCCGCAACCGGTGAACCAACGCAGTTGAATTTCTTTGAACAACCGATGTCCAAAAATGAGAGAGAACGAGGGCGCAAGGTTAGCGGCTGAGCGGAGCCGCGTGGTCATCTCCGAGTATATGGCTGCTCTACATTTCCACGCGATGAGCCACTCCGTTGAGCGATCATTTGTGGCCAGGTCGCCTCTCAAAAAAGAGTTACATAGCTCAGTGGGGCTTACCTGATCAAATAAAAAAAACAATAGTTTAGTTTAGATCGGGTGGTGAATCCATGCTCTGCAAAAATAAGTGTTCCGCTTATTTGACAAAAATGTTTTTATTATTTGCACATTTTTCAGCACATCCCAAATGTAACTTCAGCTCCCCCCACCCCACCCAACAAATAATATTTGTAGACACTGTCCATGTCGACACCACTAAACTCTGAGATTAGACAAACATCGGTGGCTCACTCCTCAAACTGCCACGAGTTTCGCTGACCGCGCTCACAAAAGTTTAGGTTTTTTTTATTTGACCAGGTAAGACCCACTGAGCTATGTAGCTCTTTTTTAGAAGCAACACTGGACACAAATGACAGCTCAACGAGGTGGCTTATCGTGTGGAAATGTATAGCTGCCAAATCCTCGAAAACGCGTGTTTTTAAATGTGGAGGGGGAAATCGGAGGACCTGGTTGAAAAATCCACGCGACCACGGGGAGAGAGAGACACGCAAACTCCAAATATACAGCAGGCGTCAAGGTCGGGATCGAGCCCACAACCTCCTGTGTGCCAGGCGATGTAGTTAACATCTTGCCACCGCATCGTTCGGGGTCCTGCGGGGGGCCTCCATCCCTTACGCGTGGTGTGGAGTGGGTGGGGGGGTCGAGGAGGAGAATCCCGAGATTGAAATGTTTTGAGAAATACAACCACAATAGGGATGATCATTCCGCTTGTTTGTTTAGTGGAATGTTCCCTTCCTTCTCAGATAAACCGGGCAGCAGGGCAAGACAGACCGCTGAACACACAATGCGAGGAGTCTCGGGGAGGAACCGTTTGAAAGGCACATGATATTTGGGAGATTTACGCACGGCTGCTATCAGTGTAAACACGTGGAAAGGCTGTTGGCGCGCTCGTGAAAGGACATTATGTAACGGCCTTCCAAACAGCGAGCGAGCCGAAGTCGAGTCCATCTCGCAGGCCAAATGGAGCTGGAAAGAGCCGCGCAAAGCAGCAGGGAGAAGGCCACGCTTGGGATTGTGCACTGAGAGGAAAGAGAAGGCCAAGGACCAGCGAGTGGAACGCATCGGTCGGCTGGCAATAGAAGCGCGCTTGAACAGGACACGTCGCCAGGAGGGGGGTGGGTGGCCGCGGATCGAGACGAAGGATGGAGTGGCAGCCAAATCAGGGAACGCATTCCGAGAGCCCGGAATCCGCGGAGATGGAGCAATGAAATCACCGCGTGTGCAGAATCTGGATATGTTATTGTATCATGGCAGGATCGTGAGAATCAGAATATTTATTTTTCCTAGAGAAATCCGACGAGCTATGAAGCTCTTCTACGCAGACGTCCAGTAGAGGTGTGTGTCCGAACGTTACGACGACAAACAATATAAAACTAAAACGATTGGAGTGCAGAGCAGAGGATAGGTGAGCGCATTGCAGAGAAGGCGTCAGCTTGGGAATGGCTCCATCCAGCAGCGGATAGATCACGGCCGGTGATGATGATGACGACCGCACACTTTGCCCGTGCGCGCAGAGTCAACATCGACACCCTCCACCCCCCGCCCCGTGGCCGTTGCTGCAGGAGATCACGAAGCGTCTGTCCCGCTGTAAAGCCTTAATGACGCCGCAATGTCATTTGTACGGAAAAACAACAACAACAACAAAACCTCGCCAATAAACAATGCGTGTTCTCGTTAGCCGCTCCGCAATAGCTCCCAAGCGAGTCTTTGTCGCGAGTTGTTTCTTCGCTGCCGACGGCGCCCGCCGCGCTTCAAGAGTCGCGCGCCTCCTGCCCGAAACTTGTGGCCACACATCGCGGCGTCGGTTTAACGGGGAGCCGGGATTTTACCGATGAGATCCAGAGTTTGCCTACTTAAACAAAGAGAAGAGAAAAAAAACATCCACAAGTGGGAAAAGCTCCGTGGTGGGAAACTCCAACGCATCATGCCGGACAACACGCGGGCGTTGCCCAATGACACAACCGAGAGATGTGATGCAGCACGACCCGCCACAATCTGCGCAGCGGTATCAACTCACCGCACTCGAGAACGTGGTTGAATCACAGCCAGGAGCCACTTCTACATCTCTGGCCTCCTATTACCTCCGATTAGCACGGTAGTCTAAGTGCGGTGCGAAATAAGTTCAACATCCATACGTGGACTGTGAGCTCCGAGGAAGGGTCATTGCACAACAATGTTATTGACAAATGTGTTCATTTTTTTGTAAACGAGTCTGTGGGTCTCTATACAAGTTCCGTACTGCATATGGGTTTCTATTCACGTCTATGGGTCTCCGTATGACTCGAAGCCGCAGGGGATCTCGACGTAGCTCCGTTCCAGAAAGAAGGTCACAGCACCCGGAGCAAAACGCGGGGGCTTCATGCCGAACAACACGCGGCACGACCCCGGGGAACTCATCGCGGGGAGCGTAATTCGGCGCCTGCCGCGTAAATAAATAAAAGTCTGCCCCGCTTGGCTGGGGGAGGCTGGCGCTGCCCCGCGATGCCACCATGCGCCCCGAGCCTCGTGACAAGTCACGATGGAAACATTTTCGGTGCGTGTTAATAATGTCCTCGGGCG